CTTGGGAGGCAAAGATCAGGAGGATCATGTTTTGAGGACAACCCGGGCAAATAGTTCATAATACCCCAATCTCCAAAATAACCAGAACAAAATGGACTAGAGATGTGGCTCAAGCTGTAGAGTGCCTGCTTTGCAAGAGTGAAGCCCTGAGTTCAAAACCCCAGTACCACAAAAAATAATAGTAACAATAATAAAATTGGGTACATTTCTTGTGTTCCTTCCAGAAGGATAAATGTTCCATTTTTATCTATTTTTTTTCTGTCTTTTTTTTATTATTTATTCATGTGTGCATACATTATTTGGGCATGCACAAATCCCCCCTGCCCCTCTCCCCCACCCTCTCCCCCCCCTCCCCCCTTCCCCCCTCAGTTCCAGGCAGGTCCTGTTCTGCCTTTATCACTAATTTTGTTGAAGAAAAAAGACAAGCATAATAAGGAAGACAAAGTGTTTTTGCTAGTTGCGTTAAGGATAGCTATACAGAGAGAGTCCTAGCATTGCTTTCATGTACACATGTTATGACCCATGTTGATTCATCTCTAACTGATCTTTACACTGGTTACTGATCCCCTTCTGGTGATAACCTCTGTCGCTTTAAGGTTTTTGTATTAGCTTCTCTGGAGTGGGGACATCAAACGCTTTCATGTTTTGGGTTTTCTATCTATTTCTATATCACCCATATGCGCTCTCCCCTTGTCATGTGATCCAAGTCCAACCACATTGCTGCATTTGCCCTAGATCTAAAGTCCGCATATAAGGGAGAGCATATGATTTTTGGTCTTCTGAGCTTGGCTGACCTTGCTCAGAATGATGTTCTCTAGTTCTATCCATTTACCTGCAAATGATAAGATTTCATTCTCCTTCATGGCTGAGTAAAATTCCATTGTGTACAAGCACCACATTTTCTTGATCCATTCATCAGTAGTGGGGCATCTTGGTTGTTTCCATAACTTGGCTATAAACGTGGGTGTGCAGGTGCCTCTGGAGTAACTAACCTGTGTTGCATTCCTTTGGGTATATCCCCAGGAGTGGGATTGCTGGATCATATGGCAGGTCTATGTTTAGATTTTTAAGAAGTCTCCAAATTTTTTTCCAGAGTGGTTGCACCAGCTTGCATTCCCACCAGCAGTGGATTAGGGTTCCTTTTTCCCACATCCTTGCCAACACATGTTGTTGATGGTGTTTTTGATGATGGCTGTTCTAACAGGGGTGAGGTGGAATCTTAGTGTGGTTTTGATTTGCATTTCCTTTATGGCTAGAGATGGTGAGAATTTTTTCATGTCCTTTTTTGCCATTTGAATTTCTTCTTTTGAGAAAGTTCTATTAAGTTCAGTTGCCCATTTTTTAATTGGTTCATTGATTTTAGGAGAATTTAGTTTCTTAAGTTCCCTGTATATTCTGGTTATCAGTCCCTTGTCTGATGTATAGCTGGCGAATATTTTCTCCCACTCTGTGGGTGGTCTTTTCAGTTTAGAGACCATTTCTTTCATTGTGCAGAAGCTTTTTAATTTTATGAAGTCCCATTTGTCCATCACTTTCTCTTAGTTCCTGGGCTGCTGGGGTTCTATTAAGGAAGTCCTTGCCTATACCTATTATTTCCAGAGTGTTTGCTGCTCCTTCCTGTAGTAACTTCAGAGTTTTGGGTCTGATATTTAGGTCCTTGATCCATTTTGAGTTGATACTAGTACAGGGTGATAGATATGGATCTAGTTTCAGTTTCCTGCAGACAGGTAACCACTTTTCCCAGCAACATTTGTTGGAGAGGCTGTCTTTTCTCCATCATTTGTTTTTGGCACCTTTGTCAAAAATAAGGTGGGTATAGTTGTGTGGGTTCATATCTGGATCTTCTGTTCTGTTCCACTGGTCTTCATGTCTGTTTTTATGCCACTACCATGCTGTTTTTATTGCTATTGCTTTGTAATATAGTTGAAGTTGGGTATTGTGATACCTCCAGCATTGCTTTTTTTGCTATTGCCTTGGCTACTCGTGGTGTCTTGTGTTTCCAAATGAACTTTAGAGTGGATTTTTCAATCTCTGTGATGAAAGTCATTGGGATTTTGATGGGAATTGCATTAAACATTTAGATTGCTTTCGGTAGTATAGCCATTTTTACTATGTTGATTCTACCGATCCATGAGCACTGGAGATCTTTCCATCTTCTGTAGTCTCCTTTGATCTCTTTCTTCTTCAGGAGTTTGTAATTCCCCTTGTAGAGGTCATTCACATCCTTTGTTAAATTTACTCCTAGGTATTTGATTTTTTTTGAGGCTATTGTGAATGGAATTGTTTCCATATATTCCTTCTTAGTTTGTTCATTGTTGGTGTATAGAAAAGCTAATGATTTTTGTAGGTTGACTTTGTAGCCTGCCACCTTACTGTAGCTGTTTATGGTGTCTAAGAGTTTTTGGGTAGAGTTTTTTGGGTCTTTAAGGTATAGGATCATATCGTCTGTAAATAAAGATTGGCAGTTTCTTTACTTATTTGTATTCCTTTTATTTCTTCTTCTTGCCTCATTGTTCTGGCTAGAAATTCCAGTACTGTGTTGAATAGGAGTGGGGATAGTGGGCACCCTTGTTTCACTCCTGATTTTAGGGGGAATGGTTTCAGTTTTTCACCATTAAGTATAATGTTGGCTGTAGTTTTGTCATAAATAGCCTTTACAATGTTGAGTTACATTCCTTCTACTCCTAGTTTTTTTAGAGCTTTTATCATGAAGTGGTGTTGGATCTTGTCGAACGCTTTTTCTGCATCTATTGAGCTTTTTATCTATTTTAAAGTACATTTTACATGTAGTAAAATGAATCCTTTTTACTGTTGTTTTGTGAATAATTTAAAGTTTATTTTTAACCAGTACATAAAAATATATATTAATGGTACACCATATAATGGTTTAATACATTTGTACCTGTTTAAATCAGGGCAAACATCTATCTGTCTCCTCCAGCTGGGGGTAGAGCTCAGGGGGTAGAAAGCTGTGTGTGTGATCCCCAGTACCACAAAAACTAAACTAAAACAAAACTGCAAACTATGTCTATCTCCTGAAACAATTGTCATTTCTTTATGGTGAAAACTATGGAAGACCTTTCTTGTAGCTTTTTGAAATGCACAATATATCCCTGTCGTCTGTAGTCCCCTACTGTGCAGTAACACAGCAGAGTATGTGTGCGTGTATCTGTGAGTTAGCAGCCATTCACCAGCCTCTCCCTATCCCTCCCTCCCCAGGTGTCTGCCAGGCCTCTGGTGAGTAAAAGTTATAGAGAAAGAGAGAGAGAGAGAAAGAAAGAGGAGGGAGGGAAGGGGAGAGAGAGAGAGAGAGAGAGAGAGAGAGAGAGAGAGACAGACACTGTGTGTGTGTGAGAGATGAGACACACTGTGGGAGAAAGAAGGTGACAGTGTGTGTGAGAGAGAGAAAGGGACTGTGAGAGATGAGACAAACTGTGTGTGAGAGAGAGAAAGTGAATGAGAGAGAGACGTGAGAGAGAGAGAGAGACTATGTGTATGGGAGAGATTATATAGTCACACAATCAATGAAGGCACAGATGCCCCTTCCGCAGTTTCAGCCCCAGTGCCAGCTCCTTTGCCACTATAGTTTTTCATTTTCCAGGATGTTCCTATAAATGGAACCCTCCAGTGCAAGCATGGGACTGACCTGTCTGGCAGGGTGCCTCTGGCTTTGTCTGTGAGTGTGGATAATTTTTCTTAGCATTGTCTGGGCTGGAACACTGATGCATTTGGGAAGTTTTTATTAGGCCTTTGACAACGCTTCTTGTGAATGAAAAGGCTGAACTTCTGGTGCAGCCCCAGTTCAGGAAATGGGCCCCTTCCTGCCCTTACAAGTGTCCTGCCAGAGAGCAGTCTTTGTGGGCTGTAGGCAATTGTCTGCTTTATATATTGCTTCCTCCAATTGAATGTGAGCCTTCAGATCCCCTCAGACAGGGCAGTCCTAATGATGATGGTAATAATGACAATGATGATGACGACAGTGCAGCCAGCCCTCCACAGCCTCACCTTCTACACCCATGCGTTTACCAACTGTGCATCAAAGATAGACAAAAAAAAAAAGTATCTGTACTTAACATGTGCAGACATTTTTTCTTATTAATTGCTAAACATATATCTTGTCTTTTTTTTTTTTTTTGGAGGTACTGGAGTTTGAACTCAGGAGTTCATGCTTGCTAGACAGGTGGTCTGCCACTTGAGCCACGCCTCCATCCGTCTTTCTTTGCTCTGGTTATTTTGGAGATAGAGTCTCTCTTTTTGCCCAGGCTAGTCCAGAGCACTATCCTATTTTAAACTTCCTGCCATTGCTGGGTAGGCATATACCTCCATGCTCAGCATTTTTCCATTGATTGAGGTCTCTAGAACTTTTTTGCCCAGGCTGGTCTGCCTTACCAACCCCCTCCCCGCCTCGCAGCTTCCCACTTGGCTTGGAATGACAAGCATGCACCACCACACCCAGCTGTTGGTTGAGATGGGGTCTTGAGAACTCTTTGCCCAGCTGGCCTCGAACTGCAGTCCTCCTACTGTCTGCCTCCCAAGTAGCTAGGATCATAGGCGTGAGCCACCTTCAACCTTTCTGGCCCAATGCACTTGTGTGCCTTGAGGTTATTTACTACTATTATGTGTGTGTGGACACAGATTGAATCTACTGTTGGAAATGCTATTAAGTGGTGAGCTACTGTGTATCCCTTGCCAAGTGTGTTCCTTGCTTCCTGTTGGTAGCCTGAAATTGACCATAGAAACTGGCAAATGCTGTGAGTTAGGTTCTTGCTGCCGCCTCCCTCAGGAGGTTGTTAAACATTTACAAGCCCAGCACTGGCTTGAGGACTTCAATAAGTTAATAGATGCTCCTGGCACATGTCAAGTGCATGGAAGTGTGGCTGTTATTGTTATTATTTTGCTTGGCTTCCAACCCTCATCCAGAACTGCTGCATGTGCCGACAGAAATTGGGCAAAGCCATTGACCAGCTGTGTTTTTCCTCCCTCCCTCTTTCTCTCTCTAGTTTGCCCCACCATCTGCAAGTCACACGGCTGCACCGCTGAAGGTCTGTGCTGCCACAGCGAATGCCTAGGCAACTGTTCTGAGCCTGATGACCCCACCAAGTGCGTGGCCTGCCGAAACTTCTACCTGGACGGCAGGTGTGTGGAGACCTGCCCACCCCCCTACTACCACTTCCAGGACTGGCGCTGTGTGAACTTCAGCTTCTGCCAGGACCTGCACAACAAGTGCAAGAACTCCAGGCGACAGGGCTGCCACCAGTACGTTATTCACAACAACAAGTGCATCCCTGAGTGTCCCTCTGGGTACACGATGAATTCCAGCAAGTGAGTCCCTGGTGTGGTTGTGAGTCTGGGGAGGAAGTGAAAAGAGAGGAGGGAGAGGGAGGGAGGAAGGTGGGACTGGTGACGATGGTTAAAGCTGTTAATGATGTGCTAGAAACTGGGGGTGCTGGTTTGTCTGTTAAAACTGCAAAACCAGAGTTAACTGGCCATAAAGCAAGATGCTGTTGATTACCAACTGCTCTGACTAGTTTTGTCCTCGAGTCTCTGTTGCCATTTTTTTTTCAGTACCGAGATTTGAACTTGCACTTGCTAGGCAGGTGCTCTACTAGTTCAGCCACACCCTCAGCTCTTGGCATTAGCTATTTTTTGGTGGTATCTCACCTTTTTGCCTAGAGCCAGCCTTGGGCCATGATCCCTCGACCTGTGCCTCTCACATAGTTGGGGTAACAGGTATACATGACTTGCTTCTGTGTTGAGATAAGGTCTTGCCAATTCTTTGCCCAGGCTGCTATCCTCCTGATCTCTGCCTCCGGAGTGGCTGGAATTACAGGTATGCACCACCATACCTGGCCTCAGTTACTACTTTTGCTTCCTTTCAGTCCTGGGTTTTGATGCAGTTGATAAACTTTTTCTCCGAAGGATCAGATAGAAAATATTTCCAACATCTTGTGCTCCATTTCTTTTTCTTTCTTTTTTTCTGTTCACTTACTATTTTTCATTTATATTCACCCCCTCTGTTACTATTTCTTATATCCTCTCCCCTATTTCCCCTTTTAAAGTCTTTCTTGCAATTTTAAAAATGTATTTCATTATGACCTCTTCATGCATGCATACAATGCACTTTGATCATATTCTCTCCCTCACACTTCCCCCCCACCCCCCACTTCCCAGTGCCTTTTGGTACTTTCCCATTTATGTTTGGTTTTTGTTTTTTTTAGATCTAACTTCTGCATAAGAGAAAAAACATGCAGTATTTGTCTTTGTGAGTCTGGCTTATTTCACTTAAAACAGTGATCTCCACTTTCATCTGTTTTTCTGCAGACAACATAATTTCATTTGTTATGGCTGAATAATTCTCCACTGTGTATATATACCACATTTTCTTTATTCACTCATGAGTTTATGGACGCCTAGGCTGAGTCCATAGCTTGGCTATTCTGAATAGTGCTGCAGTAAACACAGGAGTGTAGGTGTTTCTTGTGCCACAACAGAAGACATATATGTGGAAGTCCTTCATTTCCCCTGGGTTCCTCCACTGTGGACTGTCCTCACTGATACACTTACCTCACTCTTACCTGAAGAATATAACTAAGGGGGTCCGGTGCAGTGGTTCACACGTATAATACCACCTACTTGGGAGGCAAAGATCAGGAGGATCATGGTTTGAAGCCAGCCCTGGCAAAAAGTTAGTGAGACCCCAGCTCAACAAGTAAGTCAGGTGTGATGATTCATGTCTGCCTGTAATCCTAGATACTCAAGAATTGGAGGTAGGAGGATCATTCACGACGAGCCTGGACAAAAACAGAAGGCCCTGTCTGGAATATAACTAGAGCAAAAAGGGCTGGAGGCATATAGCTCAAGTGGTAGAGCACTTGTGTAACAAGCACAAGGCCCTGAGTTCTAACCCTAGTACCACCAAAAAAAAAAAAAAAAAAATTGTAGCTGAGGTTTTTCATGTGTTTTCCCACCTGGAGCTGGGCCATGTGACAGGACAAGCCTGGAACACATTGTGTCAAGGAGGAGGAGTTTTACATCTACATTATTCCCAAAACTTTGGTGTTCTTTGAAGGATGATTCCATCAAGCCATTTCCTACCATATGGGTGAGAAATAGCACAGTTTTCTCTCTTTGGTTGTGAGTCACATTTCCTACACACACTGTAGACGGTTTTGTTCATGCTGTTAGCTTCGTAGATGAGCTATTTCAGTGTCTGGGGCCATAACCAAGTTAAAAAAAAATCTGTTTCCTGGTTTTTTTGTGGAAGGCCTTTTCAAAAAAAATAAATGACCACCAAATAATACAAAACCAAATCAGAAACAGACGTATGTTGGGAGGCCTTGAGCTGACCTCCTTACGTAAAAAATCTTCCTCTTCAGTCTTGAGAATTAGCCAAGCGAGAGTGTTTTGTGGGAAGTTTTATTTCCCTGGGTGGAGAGGGTGAGAGGGAAAACAGTCTTTATTTTAGTTCCTGTAAACCTTTCTTTTAATGTTTATGAAACCTGAAAGCACAGTATGTTTTGTTGGAGTCATATTTGATTAAAAAAAAATTTAAGTGGCTTTGTTGACCAAAATAGGCCTCTATAAATAATCTTTGAGAGCTTGATGGGACTTTTTTTTTTTTTTTGGGTTCAGTTTAATAATAAGGTGGGAAAAATGACCATATTCCTTTTCATTCTTTTTCTGCTTTTATTTTTATATTTAAAATAGAGTGGGTAGTCATGGCTTCTACCGAGACATTTGTTTAAGAGATGTTTGGCTTTAAATAAAAGGTATTTTTCCCTCCAGAAACATACCAACTTCCTTTGATATTGTCATTGATGGTGAGTTAAAACTTAGAGAAAAAACCCTAGGAAATGGATTCCTTGTGATAAGACATCCTTTGAGGGCTGGAAGGAGTGCTGAGTGCCAATAAGCACGCATTGTGGCACTATTGTACTTCCTAGTTTTTTAATTAATATTTTTACTTCTGAGGTGTTTTCATTTTGGAAGACTTTATAATACTGCTGCATTTCCTAATGTGGTTCTATATCAAAAAGGACCAGATCTATGTTGTTCCTCTCTGGGTGACTCAACTGGGACACAGTTCTTGGTGTTTTCACAGCAGAGTTCTGGGAACCCTCATAGACTCATCAAAATGCCACGCCAGCTATGGTCACCCCGTAGTGCCTTGCAGGATCAGTGGGGTACTCGTTCCTGAGATGAGGACTGAATACTTGGGTGTGCAGATTATGTTTACAATGTGTGGGGGACATCTGTTGAGAAGGGGAGAATTACCCCAAATTCTTGTCTTTTTTTGCCCTCCCAGCTATTTGAGTTTTCACATTCCTCCACAACTTCACCTGCTCCCTCACCATTGCTGGTCCTGGTATCTTTTTTTTTTTTTGTGTGGTACTAGGTTTTGAACTCAGAGCCTCAAGCTTTGCTAGGCAGGCACTCTACCACTTGAGCCCTCCACCAGCCCAGTTTTTTATTGGGTGTTTTTGAGATAGGGTCTCACAAACTATTTGCCTGGGCTGGCTTCAAACTGAGATCCTCCTGATCTCTGCTAGGAATACAGGTGTGAGCCACTGGCACCCTGCTGGCCCCAGCATCTTTACCTGTCTCTTTGTTCTTTCTGCTTCTATTCAAGCTACTTTGGCTAAAGGAAACTTAAAAACAAACAAAAAAAACCCAGCCAGCCAGGTGCCAGTGGCTCATGCCTATAATGTTAGCTATTTGGGAGACTGAGATTGGGAGGACTGCAGTTCAAGGCCAGCTGGGCAAATAGTTCTTGAGACCCCCCATCTTCAAAAAACCAGAGCAAAATGGACTGAAGGTGTGGCTCATGCAGTCTGCTTTGCAAGTACAAAGGCCTCAGTTCAAACCCCAGCTCCTCAACACACACACACACACACACACACACACACACACACACAAGCCAACCAAACCATGTCATCATGCTATGTCTTTGCCTAGCTGTCCAGCTGTTCCCAAGACACTTAGGCAAAATCCGAATGCTCCACTGTCTTGTCATTCCATCCCTTGCCCATTGCTGGAGCCACACAGGGTTGCCCTTCAACTTTGCCAAGGTCATTCTGTCCTGTATGCCTCTGTACTAGCCATTCCTTCCCTGGAATGCTCTGTCCCTCTGTGCTTGGATGGCTCATTTCTGCTGCCCTCCAAGTTACAGCTGATAAACCAACTCCTCAGATACTCCTTCCCCATCACGCTCTCTGGTACACCATTCAGTTTTAACTCATTTTGTGGCACTTATCACTCAACTGTCAGTTTATTTGTGCTCCCCACCAGATCATAAGGGTTATGAGTATATGGGTCAGCTCTTGCTGTGTAACAAATCAGTCTAGTGCTTAGCAGCTTAAAGCAACACTCATTTATGACTTGTGTGGTTTCATGCGTTGACCAGTAGGTCATCTGGCTAGACTGGCTTAGAGCTGGCTGAGTGGTTTAGGGTAGATGACCAGCTAGGGCCTCTCTCCATGAAGTCTTCCATCCCAACAAGATGAAGAGCTGACGTATGTAAGTGACTCTCAGATCTCTGCGTGTATCACATTTGCCAGTCTCCCATTGGGCACAGAAAATCACATGGCCAATCCCAGATCAACAGGTGTGTGTTGGGGGAGAGGGATGGCACTTTTTGGTGGCAGAGGCTGAACTGCTAGGAACTTGGGGCCATTTGTAATTTCCCATCAGGAAAACACAGATGATGTGTTTTCACTTTTAGGGACCTGTACTGCAGAATAGGAGTTGGCATAGGGCCAGGCAATAAATATTTTCAGCTCTGACAGCCATATGGTCTTCATTGGAGCCACTTTATTCAGACTTTTAGTGCAAAAGCAGGATTCAGTGATACTGTCATCAGTGGGCATGGCTGAGTTCCAATAGAGCATTATTTGCAAAAACAGGTGGCCAGCTGGATTTGGCTCCTGAATTGTGGTTTTCCAGCCCCCTTTTAGAGCACCACCTGTCGCATAGGTGTAGAGCCAATAAGAGAACTCAAACATTTGGTCATTATTCTGTTTCCAGCCCAGCTTTTGGATACCACCTGGGGATGCTGTGTCTGAGTTCTGACCCTGACCACCTGGGGTTAGCACCTGACTCTATGTGCCCTGGCTTCAGAAACCTGCTGAACTTTGGGGATCCCTGGAAAACTCACACTGCTGACTACGTGGTTATAAATTCAGGGGTTCTCACCAAGTTTTTGTGATTTATTATTCACTAAAATGACTCAGAACTAAAATAAGCTTTCTACACTTAGAGTTTTATTATAAAGGAGGCATGGAGAGAGAGGTTTAAGAGAGACAGAGCCAGTGTCCATGCCCTTGCCCTGTGGAACCAGGGATGTATCATCCTCTTGGTACCTTGATGTGACCTCCAGCCAGGGAACTCCACCGAGCTTTGGTGATGATAAAGTTTTTACTGGGGTCTTACTCTATAAACACCATAGGTTGAATCACTGACCATGTGACTAAATGCCATCTTTGGCCTCCTCTCCTCAACCTGGGGGTCAGGCAGCTGAAGCCCCAATTGTCTAATCACAGAGCTGGTCCTTATGACTGGCTTTCATCCCAAAGTTATCTAGGGGTCCACAACAAGTCACCTCAACATTCCTAACATTCCCAGTAGTGGCAGTCTTTTTACTCAGGAAATTCTAGAAGTTTTTGAAGCTTTTGGACAAAGAAACCTAGATAAAGACAAATATGCAGCCATCTTTGGGGGGAATTGGTTCCAGGACCTTCCTAGGTACCAAAATCTGTGGATGCTCAAGTCCCTTATATAAAAGGGTGGAATACTTGTTGGGTGTACTTGATCCAAAGTGCTTGGGACCAGAAATATTTTGAATTTTTGATTTTTTTCAGACTTGGGAATATATTTGTACATACATAAGGAAAGATATTTCATATATGCTTAATACATATAACCTGAAGGTAATTTTATACATCATTTTTAGTAGTTTTGTGCATGAAACAAAGTCTTGTGGCATGAAATGGTGTGGCATAGTCTGGGATCACGTTGATGTTTAAAAAGTTCCAAATTTGAGACATTGTGGATTTTTGGATTAGAGATCCACAACCTGTATTTGCATATAAGCTATGCACACCCTCCTGTAGACGTTAAGTCCTCTGTAGATTAGTAATGATAGATAATGCAATGTAAATGCTATGTAAATAGTTACACTAATTGTCTAGAGAATAATGACAAGAAAAATGCCTTTACATATTTGGTATTTTTTTCCAATTTTTTTTTTGACACTACTGGGGTTTGAACTCTGGGCCTTGTACCTGCTAGGCAGGTGCTTTATCACTTGAATCACAGCCCCAGCCCTTTTGGTTTTAGAAATTTCTTGAATAGGGTCTTGCATTTATACCCAGGCCAGCCTGGACCCTAATCTTCTATTTACACTTTCCACAAAGCTGGGACCACAGGTGTGTGGCACCGTACCCAGCTTTGAATCAGTTAGATGGGGCCTCGAGAACTTTTTGCCTAGGCTGGCCTTGAATTATGATCCTTCTGGTCTCTGCCTTAAGAGTAGATAGGATTTTTCAAAAGAATTTTTAAAAAAATCTTCAATTAGCTGAATCTATCTAGAGATAGAAGGCTAACTGTATTCTTTTCTTTCTTTCTTTCCTGTTTTTTTATTTTTTGGCAGTTTGGAGGATCAAACCCAGAGCTACATGTGTGCTAGGCAAGAACTCTAACTGAGCTATAGTCTCTAGTCCCTGACTGTGTCCTTTTTGTTTTCTATTACTTTTAGATATTTGTCCCTAAATATCACCAATACAATCTACTGATAAGACAAAGGCAAATTTATTTCTTACTGATATCAGGGAGAAGAACATGCACGGCACAGGGCTTTGCCATTGCCTCAGAGAGAAAAATGTAACACTACCCAACTGTCTTCTTTATTTTAGCATAATTACAAAAATTATTCCAAGAAGGAATAATCTCTACACAGGGATGTAGAGATTTCAGTAGAACATTGATACTACAAAGGAGTGATCATCAGAGGAATGAATAACAACTTTTGTATTCCAAGTACTAAGTGCTTTCTGTGGTGTCCATCTTTTATAGTTTCTCATCTTGTGTGGTTGTCATTGTCTCTACTTTACCTATAAGGAAACTGAGGCTTTGAGACTGTAATAGTTGGGAATCTGTGGTTTTGTGTGACATAGTCTAGCTCAAATTATCTTAAGCAAGATTAAAAGAGTTTATTGGTATCCATACCCAAAAAATTCAGGGAATTGCATCAGGTACAGCTGCATTCAGGAGAATTTCTTTCCATCTTTTGCTTTGCATTGGTTTTGTATTGGAACACTTAATCTTGACGACCCCCCCACCTCCCCTTAGTAGCAAGATGGTCAATATCCTCTTAGATACTCTAGAAGGAAGACAATTTCTCCTCCAAGAAGGTTCTAGAAAAACCCTTGCTACATTGAATTGGAGTGTATACTTGCCTCTGAACCCCTGGGGCATGGGAAATAATGTCCAGTATAGTCTGGACCCTGTGTTCTGCCTGAATCCAGCAAAGCATTGCCAGTCAAATGCTGAGCTCAGAAATCCTATGTGGGAGGGCTGGTGCAAATGGACTCCTAGGGCTGTGAACTTCAGGGTATTAGGCTGTGGGACAGTAAAGAGAAGGGCTACCCAAGTCACCTGCAAAGTCACAAAGTCACAAAGCAAAGTCACAGAGTACTGAGCTACACCCACTGTATTGGGGGAATAGCATCCATTCTGCCACTTTGACCTAGGGCCACCAGTCCTCCATCAGGCCCTTCCACAATTCCTGTCATGGGTAAGTCCCATGGCCTTAGTACTATGTCAGGCTAGAACGTGGTCCTGTCTCCCAGGGACACAGTGTGACTCCTATAACCTTGGGGTGTGGCAGAGTCCTGTCCCACCACATTGGTGGTAAAGTGTGAGTCTTGTTGCTTTGGAGTCAAAGCATATGTCTGTATGTAGGGCTGCCATATGGAGAAGATAACTTAAGTCTCTTATTCTAGGCAGTGGTTTGTACCTGGGGGCAGTTTTTGTCCTCCTTGCCCAGGGGACATCAGGCAACGTCTTGGGGACATTTTGGGTGGGTACTGAGTAAGTGGAGCTCAGAGATGCTGCTCAGCATCCTGTACTGTACTGGCTACCCCATACCACTGGCTGGGAAGAATATCTGGCCCCAAATGTCAATTGTGCGGAGGTTGGAAAACTGCCATCATGAGTCCCCAGGGAGTGTGCTGAACGCCACCTGTGTGCAGCAGACCCCTTGTGCCCTGACCTCAATCTCTCTCTCTCTCTCTCTCTCTCTCTCCTCCATTCAGTTTGGTCTGCACTCCGTGTCAGGGGCCCTGCCCCAAGGTCTGTCACCTCCTAGAAGGCGAGAAGACCATCGACTCGGTGACGTCTGCCCAGGAACTCCGAGGCTGCACTGTGGTCAATGGCAGCCTTATCATCAACATCCGAGGAGGCAGTGAGTGTCCTGGGGGGAGGGGGAAAGGCGGCTTATAGAGAAAGTGGGGAATGAGGAGGGTGGGGAAAGGGCTGGGCTCCAAGCTGTGAGCTGCTCTGAGCTGTAGGCAAGGAGGAAAAGCAGCCCTGATTCTCCTGCATGCTTCTTCAGCCAGGTATGGTGGTGCACACCTGTAGTCCCAGTCTCAGAAGGCTGAGATGGGGAGATTGCTAGAACCCAGGAGTTCAAGACCAGCCTGGGTAACACAGTGAGAGCCCATCTCAGAAGAAAAAAAGAAAAGCATCATTCAGTGTCTCTCTCCTTAGTACAGTCAAATGGCAGTTTACCTCAAAACCTGAAATGAGCAGCGCAGTCCCTGGCTCTACTTCATTTCCCAATCTGAACCAGGAATCTGTTGTTTTTTTTTTTTTTTTTTTTTTGATTTTTTTTGTTTTGTTTTGTTTTGTTTTGTTTTGTTTTGTTTTTATTGCTTTGGAGACAGGGTCTCACCATGTAGCCCAGGCTGGCTTTGAACTTTCAATCCCTCTGCCTCAGTCTCCTGTGTGCTGGGAACACAGGTGTGCACCACCACACCTGGCCAGGAATGTGCATTTATTTTTGTGGTCCTGGCTTCTCACTTGCTAGGCAGGCACTCTACTACTTGAGCCACACTTCCAGCCCTTTTTACTTTAGTTATTTTTCAGGTAGGGTCTTATGTTTTTTGCCCAGGCCAACCTGGACCATGACCCTCTTAGCTACTCTTTCTATGTAGCTGAAATGACAGGCATGAACCACCACCACACCTAGCTTGTTGATTGAGACAGGGTCTTGTGAACTTTATGCCCATGCTGGTCTTGAACTGTGGTCCTCCCAATGTCCTGAGTAGCTGGAATTACAGATGTGCAACACCACATCCAGTCAGGAACCTGCATTTTTAACAGGTGGGCAACATGACCTGTTGTAGATCTGCTGGTCATGTTTCCAGGCAAGAAGGCATTCCCTTGTTTGTTTATTCAGTAAAGACCAACTGATTCCTCTCATGGAAGAGGCAAGGTAGATCTAACAATAAGAAGTGAATGTACGCTTCAGAGCATGGTGATCGGCCATGCTCTGAAGAAAGGAAAAGAAAGGTGGTAGATGAGATAGGAGCTAGCAACTTTTTCCTACAAAGAGCCACGTAATAGTTTTCTCTTAGCATCCAAGGGGATTGGTTCCAGGGACCTCATGGACACCCAAATCCTTGGCTGCTCAAGTCCCTTCTATCCAATGGCATAGTATTTGTACTATGTGCACATCCTTCTGTAGACTTAAAATCACGTCTAGATGGCTTATAATACCTGATACAACGTATATGTCATGGAAAGTAGTTGCTACATCATATTGCTTAGGGAATAAATACAAGAAAAAGATGTCTGTGCATGTTCAGTAATTTTTTTTTCCAAATAATTTTGATCTTCAGTCAGTTGAATCCGTGGGCTCGACCCATGGTTATGAACATGGAGGACAACAGTCTTTAATTTTATGGACTGGATAATCTCCATTGTAACAACTCAGCTCTGCTTTTTAAACAGTAATAGACAGCAAATGGGCATGGCTCTGGTCCAGTAAAACTTTATTTATGAAACAGGCTAAATTGGGCCAATGGGCTGTTCGCCTGCCAACCTCTGAAAGAGAAAGTAAAGGAAGTTGCAATTTTAAAAAGTTTCTGGTCTTGGAAAGGAAGCTTTGAGATGGTGATGGAACAAGTCAAGCAGATATATGGGGAAATAATATTCCAGGCCAAAAGGCAGGCAGTGCAAATGTCCTGAGGCAGAACTATGCTTGGCCTGTTTAAGAAACAATAAGGAGTTTGGATCATCTTCTAAGCTTGATAGGTTTTGTTTGCAACTTTATTTTATTCACAGTGCTGGGAATGGAACCCAGGTCCTGTGCCTGGAGGTGGTGATGGTGGTGGGCGCTTTCCCAATAAGCTATACCATCATCTCCACACAACAGGTTTTGTTTATCAAGATCATTTAGAGCCTGCCAGCAAACTCCTCACCACTTACGGCTTGATCAGACTGTTTGTGTAGATACTCACCAGTGTTCTCTCCTTCATACAGACAACCTGGCTGCTGAGCTAGAAGCTAACCTCGGCCTCATTGAAGAAATTTCAGGTTATCTAAAAATCCGCCGATCCTATGCCCTTGTGTCTCTTTCCTTTTTCCGGAAGCTACGTCTGATTCGAGGAGAGACTTTGGAAGTCGGGTGTGTGAACCTGATTTTGCATTTGTTTCTAGGATGCTTATGAATTAGAAAAAGTGTTTTGTTTTTTTTTTTTTTATAACCAAATCAAAACAAAACATCATTAGTTGAAAGTTTTGGTACATAAGGTCCATCTAGCCAAAAAAAAAAAACCCTGAAATGTGTTGTATAGATATTCTTGGAAGCACATAGGGTTGCGACCCAACCTTTCTACTCTCAATGGGTGCCGGATGGAACTCAGTAAGGAGGGTATCCAGTTGTCTGGGCTGCACACAGAGTGGAGTCTTGCCAAAACTTTTTGTTATTGGGACTGGGGTTTGAACTCAGGGCTCCATGCTTGCAAAACAGGTTCTCTACCACTTGAGCCACACCTCTAGTCCATTTTGCTCTGTTTATTTTGGAGTAAGGTCTTGGGAACTGTTTGCCCAGGCTGGCCTTATACCGTGATCCTCCCAATCTCAGCTTCCCAAATAGCTAGGATTGTAGGTGTGAGCCACCAGCGCCTAACTCCCCACGACTCTAATTGCTGCATCTGGTAACTTCGCATTGCTTGGTTTCCTTGACATGGACCACACCTGGCCCTTACGGAGGTGCTCATCTCTGGCCCCTGAGATTTGACCCCTTCATGGTGTCCTCTCAGCCTCCCTCTATTTCCTTCCTCTTTTCCCTCCCAGGCTGTGCTTCCTTGGAGAATTAGTGTGCTGGGCTTTTAGCCTTAGACTGTCTCTTGTGACCTTGTCCTCCCTGTTCTGAGATCTCCAGCTCTGACTTCTCCCCATCCCCATTTCTGGGATTTCCTTCTTCTGAAGGTCCTGTTGACCCTTTTTCTGTTAGTGAAACAACAGAAATCCAGGCTAGTTGTGTTTTTAACAGATAGAGGTTGGCTCATGGACAAAAAGTCTTGAGGAAGACCATTCAGCCATGCTATGGAGAACCGAGGTTCTTTTGATTCTTTGTGTACATCATGGTCACAAAATAATTGCCTCATTCCCAATAGGGGAAAGAGACAGAAGGATATGCCAGTCGATGCTGTATGTTTCCCCCAAAGCTTGCCTGAAACATTCTGTGCTTTTTATTCTCTACCTTGATTTCTGCTCCTATCTTTTTTGGCAGACTTTGGTCACCTGTCTGCCACTTAGTACTTTGCAAGGCAGGCTGGAAGAGCGGATATCTTTTCCAGCCTCAATATCGAGGAAGGCAAGTGAGAAGGAGGTGATACAGGCTTATGACACTGTGTTGTTGAGAAAACCTTCTGGAATCCCTCCTTAGCTCATGTTGGTACTTCTGGCACAAAATTACTGCTTTTTTGCTACAAAGTTACCCTTTTTTGCTACAAAGTTGCCTTTTCACTAAAGCTCAAGGCCTTTCATTTGAATTTGCCAGTTGTGTCCTAACTGGGCTTTATGGAACTAGACCAGCACTGTTCCAGAATGACAGTACAACTCCCATGTGGAACTTCTGATTGTTCCAGTAGACACATTTTTAAAGCTCTAAAATAGATGACATTAATTTTACTAATACACTGTACCTAGCCCATTATATCCAAAATGTTATTGCAACATGGAATAAATTTTTAAAATTATCCAGAAGATCTTTTTCATCCCCTCCTCCCATTTTTTAGTGTTAAGTCTTTGAAATTCACTTTGAAGAAATTTTTTTCTACTCTCAGGATAGTATGGGAGGGCCCCATGTTAGGTGCTCAGTACCCACATGACACGTGGTGAGTGGCTTCCATATTTGACAAAGGATCTAGACACTTCCTTTTTCCCAGTCATTGCCTGCTGGTGGCCATGAATTATTCTAAAGCACCAACCTAATGAGGCCACCGGGGTGACATAAAATACACTAAAACCCTTGATATCAGAAGGTCTCTGGTTCCAAGGAAACCAGAGGAAAAAACACATAAGCTCAGGATACATGGAACTCAGCTCTGTACTGCAGATGCCTGGTTGTTTTTTCCCATAAAGCCACCCAGTTTCTACTAAAGACATTTTGTCTTTCAACAAATCTCAAATTTTCACTTTATCACTTCAACTAAGCACGTTATGTGCCCTTTTTGACTTGCAAGGATTACCATAACTTTGACCTTGCTTTTTGGGTACCATTTGCTTTCGGAGAGGCAGATTTTCACAAAATGAAACACTCAGCAGATCACTCAGTGACTTAAACACAACTGATGATAACACAGGATCCACTGAGAGCTTCTCCACATCCACTGAGCTGCGTTATGCACCTGAGATTTTTTTTTTCTAGTGCACTTGGTTAAAACCACATGTAATAAATGCTCAAATAAGGTAGGCTTCATGTAAAGTCCCCAATCCCCATAATCCCTACAAGAAGTCCCTCCCCCTGCACGGTCTTGGTCTGGTACACAGCATACTAGAGGGTTTGGCTCATTGAAACTTCCCAGCTCTTTCCTGTCACCTGTTAGCCAAAGCTGGCTACTTTGCTCTTCCTTGGACCCACCTCACGTGCCTCTGTGTCTTCTTTCTTGCTTGCAAAACCAGGACTCAGTCTGTTGGTCTCATCCCCACCCCCAAAGACTGGCTCACCTTCTTGGGCATGAAAACATCCTCTACTTCCCTTGTTCTCTTCATTCACAGATATTTACTGAGTCTGTATTAAGCAAGTGTTCACACTGGGGTTGTAGCACTGGGTATGATAGGTGCCCAACAACAGACAGATGAATATGTATATACATATATACACATTGTAATACATACATACATACACACAATGGAGTATGATTCAGTCATAAAGAAGAATGAAATTATATCGTTGGCAGGAAAATGGATGGAACTGGAGATTATCATGTTAAGTGAATTAAACCAGACTCAGAAAGACAAACATAATGTTTTATCTCATCTGTGAATCTAGATTTTTAAATAAACTGATATGAAAATAGAAGAGGGACTATTTGGGTACTGGAGGATAAGCCAAAAGAGGGAAGAGTACAAGAGAGGGTATTGGAGGTGGGGGAGGATATGATCAGAGTACGTTGTATAGATATGCGAGAATGGCATAAAGAAATCCATTATTTTGTGCAAATAATAAAGACTTAAACAACAACAACAACAAAAACTGGACTCCAGGCCTGGCCCCCACCATCTTGGATCTGTTGGGTGAGCAAGATGCATGTGTTTTTGTAGGAACTACTCTTTCTATGCCTTGGACAACCAGAACCTGAGGCAGCTGTGGGACTGGAGCAAGCACAACCTCACCATCATTCAGGGGAAGCTCTTCTTCCACTACAACCCCAAGCTCTGCCTGTCTGAAATCCACAAGATGGAAGAGGTCTCGGGAACCAAGGGTCGCCAGGAGAGGAATGACATTGCCCTCAAGACCAATGGGGACCAGGCTTCCTGTAAGTCCTGTGACCTTGGTGCTCCCACACATGGACCAGATAACCTGGCACCTCTTCCTCAGCCCCCATGCTGGCCCCTGCCCCTGGGGGTGTCACTGTCTCCTAGTGCACTGCAGTTCATGGTGTGAGAGGTTCTCTGAGATGTCCAAGGTAGGTTTTGTGCCTCTTGCTCTTTGCCAGTTGCCAGTACTTGATAGGGGACAATGCCACATAAGAATTGTGAGCACAAAAAAGTGAGTGGCACCTCCTAGAAAAACACTAGGCGTGGTGCTGAACCTGAGGGATTCAAGGCAGATGAGGTGCCTGTGACTGTTTGTCTGCATTCTCTGGGAAATACCCATGCAACTAGAGTTTGCATGAATGCAACTAGAGTTTGCAGAATCCTTAATGAGGGTAATGCCCGAGAAACATAGGAATTAGGTAGGACCTTTTTTTTATTTTGCAGAACTGGGAATTGAATTTAGGGCACCATCCTTGCTAGACAGGTGCTCTATCCCTTAAGCCATGCCCCCCAGACCTTTTACTTTTAGTTTGTTTTTCAAATAGGGTCTCTGCTTTTGCCTACCAGGCCTGGTTTTGGACTGAGATCCTCCTATCTCTACTTCCTGAATGGCTGGGATTATAGGCATGATTACTTGCCCTCTGACAGAAGTGTGGGTCTGATGTCTTTTAACAGAGGCGGAAGGAAAGAGTATAGGGCAGGGTAGCCCCAGAAAGCAGTGCATCCCTGAAAGTCTTGGTGGAGCCGTGGGAAGCTCAAGGCAATGGTTGCTTGTAGCACAGTCTTGCCTTGGATGGGAAGGGCCAGCTCAGTCATGGGTGGAAGCTGACCAAGGAGAGCCAGGCTGTGGCTGAGATGTTACAGCAGGACCTGCCTTGGGCACAGTGGGGTGACACTTTCTAAGGGAAATTAGCCCCTTAAGCAAAATTATAGTCCAAGGAGAGAGAGAAAAGGACGTGGGTGGAGTTTAGGAGAGGGTTTGCATCCCATCCATGTCTCTCCAAAGTTTAATGAACTACCCACTGTCTATACTCATTTGGCATGGGTTGATTTTGCACTTAGGTTGAATTTCTGCTATGTCAGGCTTGTGAGCTCAGGTGCCTGACACCAGTGTATCTGAGGGGGTAAACATGATCCAAGTTCAATACATACGTGTATAGAAATATCACAATGAAACCTTCCAGTTTGTATAGTTAATATTTTCTAGTTGCAAAAAGAGACAACACTGTATCTGGATAAATGCTACTCATAAAATCCCTTCTGTCAATGACATGGGCTAGCTGTCCTTCCATCAGCATATATTCAGGTGGGGTCTTGGTCAACGAACTAGCTTGCTTCAGGGGTCAAATTGCACAACTAATTCTTGCCTTCACATCTTTCTCTCTCATTCTCAGTCAGCAAGACTGAACGCTGTGTTCTTGGGGGGACAGGTGCCATGGAGGGATGACAGGTTACATCGTATGTCTCACTGCAGCCTCTCTGGGAACGATGGTTCTGCACGCTTTGGCCTGCAATTAACTATCCAATACTGCCATAGCCTGATTTGGTTTTTTTTGTTTGTTTGTTTTTTTTTACTTTTCTAGGTGAAAATGAATTACTTAAATTTTCTTTCATCCGGACAACTTTTGACAAGATCATGCTGAAATGGGAGCCTTACTGGCCCCCTGACTTCCGAGACCTCTTGGGGTTCATGCTTTTCTATAAGGAGGCGTAAGTAGGATGAAGGGTATGGGGGAGGCTTGGAGGTGGGAGCCACATCTTCCCTTCTCTCTCTCTCTCTTCCTTATCACAGTCTCTCCAGTCCATGGAGTCAGTAATGTTCCCCATTGTCAAAGGCCTGAAATTGAAGCAGGCTTCCTTTGGAGGTTGATTTTTTCTTTGGGGGTGGATGCTTTGTGGACATAGAGATTTCACTATGTTGCTCAGACTGATTGGGAACCGCTGGGCTCAAGCAATCCTCCTGCCTCACCTTCCCAAGTAGCTGGGACTACAGGCATGCCCCACTATGTGCAACTCAAAATCTGGGTTTACCCATATTACTATAACCAATATTCCATTTTGTCCCTCATGTGTGCAGTTCAGACATCCTTGGTAATCAGGAGTACGGTCTATGGAGTAGGTTTAAAGTTTTTTTATTTTTAAATCTAGTTTTAAATTTTTCCTCAACATTATTTTATCATGGTAAAATAGACACCATATAAAATTTACCATTTCAGCCCCTTTTAAGTGGATGGTACAGTGGCATTAAATACTCCCACAGTGTTGTGCAGCCATCACCACTGTCTCTCTCTAGGTGTTTTATCCTCTGAAGCAGAAATTCTGTACCTATTAAACAACTACCAGGTCTTTTTTTGGAGGGGAGGGGGAACTGGGACTTTGAACTTGAGAACTTGGACTTGCTAAGCAGGTGCTCTGCCACTTGAGCCATGTCACCAGACCTTTTAGCTTTGGGTTTTTGTGTGTGTGTGTGTGTTTTGTTTTTGGTACTGGGGTTGGAGCTCAGGGTCTACACCTTGAGCCACTCCATCAGCCCTTTTTTATGTTGGGTATTTTTGAGATATGGTCTCATGAACTATTTGCCTGGGCTGGCTTTGAACCATGATCCTCCTGATCTTTGCCTCCTGAATAGCTAGGATTACAGTCATGAGCCACCAGGGCCCAGCAGCTTTGGTTATTTTTGAGATAGGGTCTCACTTTCTGCCTGGGCCAGCCTGTACTACAATCTTCCTATTTATGCTTCCCACATGACTGGGATGATAAAGGCATGTGTCACCACACACAGCTTTTGTTGGTTGAGATGAGGTTTCCCAAACTTTTTTGCCCAGACTGGCCTCAAACCATGATCCTCCTGATCTCTGCCTCCTAAGTAGTTGGGATATGAGCCACTGCACCCGGCTTACCTGGTCATTTTGAGTATGATTAAGTATATGTGCTGGAATTATTAAGGAAGGTGGTCATAATAGTAATATTAATAAAAGTTTCATCTATCCAGATGTTTCATGCACCAGGGTGAGGGCTCATACACCCTCTCATGGCGTCTTACCAATAACCCATGGGTAGTTACTGCTATTATAGACAGTCTTCATCTTATGCTTTGATAACCCAAGATGAAAATATCTGAAGTCAAAAAGTGCACTGGCTATACCCAAGGTACCAAACATCCAATCTTAGCAATACAGTGCACTGTAGTCTCAGTCATTCCTTCTCGTGATCGCAGGGTGAACTGAGGCTGTGGCTCACTGGTGACACCCAGCATCACAAGAGATTATCACACCTCATCTCACCAGCCTGGGAGAACATACAAACTCAAAACTCCAAGTATCGTCTCTACCTAGGGCATTCACTTTTGTACTATTCATGAAGTCAGCAAATTGTTGGTCAATCCACTGTAAGTCAAATACCACCATCATTATTAGTACATAACTGGGATGTCAGAGTCAGAGGCACCTTTCTCTTGGGGTGTTCTTGAGTCACTTTTCTTTGTAGCATAAGATACTGGGGAATAAGAAGCAGCCCTGTAGGGTGTAACTTCCCTGGGTCCCCATCTCCAAGGTGCTCAGAGCAATTATCACTTCATGGTAACCCCCTTCCCCTTGTTTTGTCTTAAAAGCCCTTATCAGAACGTGACAGAGTTTGACGGGCAGGACGCATGTGGCTCCAACAGCTGGACAGTAGTGGACGTTGACCCGCCCCAGAGATCCAATGACCCAAAGTCACAGAAACACCCCGGCTGGCTGATGCGGGGGCTCAAGCCTTGGACCCAGTACGCCATCTTTGTGAAGACCTTGGTTACCTTTTCTGATGAACGGCGGACCTATGGGGCCAAGAGTGACATCATCTATGTGCAGACTGATGCCACGAGTGCGTGGTTCTTGTGACTATTAATTCACTCATGAATTAGATGTCTTGTTTTAATAGGTGCCACCACTGTGTCTACACTTTTTTTTGTGTGGAGGGGGGAGAGTGGTACTGGGATTTGAACCCAAGTCCTCACTTGCTAGGCAAGTGAGCCAGTCTACCAGCCCTTTTGCTTCTAGTTTTGTTTTTCGCATAGGATCTTGTGTTTTTGCCCAGGCTGTCCTGGGACTGAGATCCTCCTACCTCCACCTCCTGAATAGCTGGAATTGCAGGCATGAACCACCACACCTGCTTTATACTCATGGCTTCAAGTTAGGCATTGTCTCCCCTCTCAGGCCAGGCCCACCCAGCAACTTGTTCTATCCTACTCATGGCCAACCTGTTTCCTTTCTCCTTTGCAGATCCCTCCGTCCCCCTGGATCCCATCTCGGTTTCTAATTCCTCATCCCAGATTCTTTTGAAGTGGAAGCCTCCCTCTGACCCCAATGGCAATATCACGCACTACCTGGTTTACTGGGAGAGGCAGGCGGAAGACAGTGAGCTCTTCGAGCTGGATTATTGCCTCAAAGGTAAGCGCAGGAGACTGTGGAGGGATCGGCCACATTTTCCTCCACTTAGAGGAATACACTCTATTCTGTCTCACACAAAACACAGATTTTTTTCAAGTTGGCCTTTTTAAAGTTTTTTTTTAATGGTACTGGGGTTTTAACTCAGAGCCTGTGCTTGCTAGGCAAATGCTCTTATCACTTGAACCACATTCACTTTTTTGCTTTAGTTATTTTTTGAGAAGGGTCTCATGTTTCTGCCCTCACCATCCTGGATCTCAACTCTCCTATGGCCTCCATCCACCTGAAGGAAATGTTTGAAGCCTCAAATTAGTTTAGTTTGTGCACATTGTTTTAAAATTGGGTTGACTCTTTCTTCTTCTTCTTTTTTTTTTTTGGTGGGAACTCAGAGCTTTGAGCTTGCAAAAGCAAGTTGTGCTTGAGCCACAACCCAGTCCATTTTGCTCTGGTTATTTTGGATCACGAACTACTTGCCCGGGCTGGCCTCAAACTGCAATCCTCCTAATCTCAGCTATCACAGGTGTGAGCCACAAGCACCTGACTGGGTTTACTTTTAATTTTTCATTGGTGTATACTAATTGTACATATGAACTGAGCATTGTGGCTCATGCCTGTAACCCCAGCTATTCAGGAGGTGGAGGTAGGAATGTTAAGGTCTGAGGTTGGCCCCAGGGAAAAAGTGAGACCCTCTCACTTTCTATAAATGCATATATAAATATATATTTATCTATTTATACATATACATATGTATATAGATATGTGCAGTATACTTCATATATTCTGCTTTGTACATGCAACGTATAAATGCATATAATGTGTCAAAATCAAATTGGAATAGCTAGCATGTCCATTGCTTCAACATTTGCATTTCTCTGAGAATATTCAACCTCCTCACCATGACTATGGCTGTAGGCAAGAAAGATAAGGAGAGGTGGTGAGGGGGGAGGGTTTGGAAAATGGCTGCAAAGGGACAGGTACAGGACCAAGTTGTGTGTTCAGTTGCACAATGGGGTGGTCATAGTTAATAATAATGTATATGTGTTTCAAATTAGATAAAAGTGGGTTTTAAAAAACACCACCAAGCCAGACAAGCTTTCTCCTCCTGTACCGTTAGTTAGTTGGTTTGTCTGTCTCTAATTCATTTTCTGGGGCTATTTTCAACTAGTGACACTCTCAGCCCATAGCCTTGGTGGAGCAGGCTATGGTACTGCTGGCATGGTGTGGTCAAAGTCTGCTTTTGGCTCAGCCCCTGACCTGCTATGGGGTTTTGACCAAGTCACCCAGCCAGTGACTGACTGTCTCCTTTTTGGGAGAAGGAGCGGAAGACAGATAGATGATTGCTGGGAGCTGTCCCAGCAATAAGATCATGAGCTATATGCGTGTTGTGACATCATCCCTGCCTGAGCCCAGGGTTGCTAACATGATTTATCTCCTCGGAGGCTTTATATAACTTGAGCGCCAGCCCAGGCACAGGCTCAGCTCTGAGCTGTTGGCTCTGCATTTGCATCTCTGAAACCACCCGCCTGCAGTGCCACTGGCAGTGTAACAAGTTTCTTTTAAAGCACGGTAACTTTTATTCTGCAGATTGTGATTGCCAGGTAACTGATTAGACACGACTTTATGTGTATTATCACAGCTTATACAATTAAAAATAAACTCACTAAGGAAAAATACTGTAGGAGTCAACTCATTGGAGGTCCCTAGAACAGTCAAATTCATGGGGACAGAAGGCAGAATGGTGGTGCCAGGGGCTGGGAAGGGGATAGAGCTTCAGTGTAGAGAGATGGAAATTTCTGGAGGTGGATGATGGGAACCAGCCATGTGAGTATGTTTAATGCCGCTGAATTAAAGTGGTAAATTTTATGTGTTTATTTTACCCTAATCTAAACCACATACACACAGTAAGTAAGCTTATTAACCATGAGCTGCAGTAACTTTCTATTAATGTTAGCAATGTGGGTTTTTTTAAAAATTGTGATCAAATATATATAACATAAAATGTATCTTAGTAGTCACATTGCTGTACAGCCATCCCCACCACCACATTTTCCAAACTGAAGCTCTGACCCCATTAAACACTGATTCCTATTCTCTCCCCCAGGCCTGGCACCCACCAGGTGCCATGAATTTGATGAATGCATTACTTTTGGGATCTCAGAAAAACCTGGGTGCCCAGTTTCATGCAGTCATACCTGTACCCCATCAAAGGTTTCTTCCTTTCTAGAAAAAAGTATCAGGAGTCCCCCCTAACTAAGGAAATCCTATCACTTTCTTCTGCCCCTGATGTGGCAACTGGCCTTCCTTATAGTCAGTACAGCCGGGTTATTTTGTGTCTGTTCCTAAATGTAAGATGTACTTTTTAGGAGTCCCCACAGGCTTTTAAAACACTTAGGCTTCTGAGAGGATCTGACCACTCACAGGCAGGTGCTTGACACACGCAGTTACATTCTCTGTACCCAAAGCATCAAAGGACAGGGGAAAATAGGATTCTGTTTACTTAATAGCACCCCTCAACCTAGTTATGACACCTCAAATGTCTCCAGACATTGCCTATTCTGGGGGGAGGGAGGCAAAATAATCCCCCAGATAAGAATGTCAAATTAATTGACTTCTGAGTTCATGAATGGACCCTCTAGAGTTCTGTGTGAAACTGCTTTGTCCGCTCATCATTATATTTGACTTGATTGGTTGGTTGATTCATTCATTCATGTATGACCTAGCCCCCCAAACTTTTGCCAGACCATCTCTTACCATTCTCTCCCTCAACTCCACCCCCCCACCCCCAGCTTATTGGTTCCTTGGTGTTTTTGATCTGCCAAGAATATTTCTGTCCCAGCACCTTTACACTTGTCTTTTGCTCTGTTTGAATCACTTTACATGAAAATGTGTGCATGGCTCATTCCTTTTCTTAATTTGGGAAGGCTCAGAAGTTACTTTCTCTGAAACTATTCCATAACAATAGCATGCTCCCCTCCCCCATTCTCAGTTCTTTCTTACTCTTCCATGTAACTTGTGACATATGTATTTAGCAGTTTGTTGTAAAATGTGAAGTTCTAATGGCAGAGGTGTTCTCTTTTTACCTTACAGACTTCATTTCAGTTCTGGGTTTATGATATCTGACAGTTTCTAAAACATGTTAACAATTACTGCAATAGTGTAATTATTATTATTATTTGCAGTCAGGGTGTTGAAGTCAGGGCTTAATTGCAGCAGTAGTTACACTTTGGGCCAACCTTCACTTTTTTCTTTCAGTATTGTTTTAGATAGGATCCTGCCTTTGCTGGCTGCTGGAACTCGTGTCCTACTTGCCTCCTAGAAGAACATGGTAGGAAAAGAAGGTTTTATTTTTCAAAGTAGAACTTGAAGTCAGGTTCTGCCCTTTGTATCCAGAAGACCTCGTTTGCTCTGCCTTTTCCTAGGGTTGAAGCTGCCCTCCCGGACATGGTTCCCACCATTTGAGTCCAAAGATTCCCAGAAACACAATCAGAGTGACTACGAGGACTCCACTGGGGATGCTGGTAACTGCCAGGCGTCCGAGTCCTGACAGGAGATGGAAGGAGTCTCTTCAAGAAGACCTTTGAGGACTACCTGCACAACGTGGTTTTTGTCCCCAGGTCAGGACTGATTCTGCATGACCCTGGGCTCGTTTGGTGTCCATTGACTAGCTTGTGGGGGGAGGGGAGGTCATTATTTATGGAACAAGGTGAAGTGGGCCCCAGAGACCACAGGGAATGGGGGAGTCCCAGCTGAGCCCTTACCTGGATGAAGCAAAACATCTTGCAACTCCAGTGGGCATGTATCCAACAAGAGTAAATAATCAAAAAGGGGAGATTTACACAGCCCAGCGTTCACCTCCCTTCCCTCCCTGCCCCGTTCTCCATCGGGTTATGAAGCAAACTACCACTGGGCAGATCATGGGAAAGGCCTGCCCATATGACGTACTTGATTGTTCTCTGAGTGTCGCATTGCTCCTCTATTCTTTTTTTTATCCTATGAAGTATCTTGCTCTTCTAAAGAATTTCTGGGTGGATCATTACACAGAGGCTCCTTCCTAATTTACATAGGTTGAGCTTTCTTTAGTGAGAAAAAGTACATGTGCGGTCCAGAGAGAGCCTGCAGTGTAGTCTCTAGGTTTAACTTCCACTCTTCTCACTTTTGCAAGGAAAGAAGTGCTTTTAGGTGAAAGGTTGGCTGGTTGTGGGTTGTTGGGTTTTTTGTTTTTTGACTGGATTTGGGGCTTAATGGGAAAGAACTTTTTGGATAGGTAGTTCACACAACCTTTCTCTGTGTTTGTGGGAGAAGAAGGCAAATATTATCAGGGGGACTGCAACTTTGTTACTGCTCTTCTGCGATACTGCTTGGAGCAGGGTTATCCACACTGCCCTCACAGTTTCTTCAATCCATCAATGCGACATATGCGTTAGTTTGACCCAGTATTGGTGGGAGATTGGTTTCAGGATCCCTGAGGACATCAAAATCTGAGGACATTCAGGTCTTTATATAGTATTTGGCCAGAACCTACACACATCGTCCTGTGGACTTAATATTGTCCCTAGGTAATATAATACTTACAGACAGTAGGAATATGTCTATGTTTGTCTCAAATTGTTTAGGAACTAATAACAGGAAAAAGTTTGTATATGTTCGGTAATGCTTTTTTTTAAATATTGATCTGGGAGTTTTTGACCATGGATATGATTGTCTTCGTGTAATTTGGTATGTTTAAGTGAGGATTCTCAACTGTGATCCCATGACTATTTAGAATGAGCATGTTCTCTGTGATGGGAGCTGTCCTATGCATTGCAGGGTACCAAGCAGAATTCCTGGCCCTAATCTCTTGAAGATACTTGCAACAACACCCAGCACCGCAGGAGTGATGACAGAAATACTTCCGAACTGCCAAGTGTGCCAGGACTTGTTCCATGTGGATGTGGATTTCTTGGCTACTTTTACATTCCATCTTTGTTTCTCTGCCTTAAGAATTTTTGCAGGTGGCTACCCCAAAAATATCTGATACAATTGTCCATTTCCAAAGTGGATTAAAAACCCAGAAGGTTTACAGTGGGATAGAAATGAAGTTCTAAAGTGTGTCTGTTCAAATGTCGACCTACACTACTTATCCTGGTCACTTTTTTCCCAGAGCCATCAATATGTTGATGTTTCTTTTTTCTTTCTTTCTTGCATTTTTTCTGCCATGACCTGGAGTCCAAAAAAGTCTGTCAGTAATACAACCCAAGCATCAAAGGAGTTACTGTTTTATTCATTTAAAAACAAAATGCTGCTAGGCTGGGGTAATAACTAAGTTGATTCTGGTCAAGTGTAGTCCAAGTTGACATCCAAGAGAATCCCAGCCTCTGGAGCATATGTCCTCTGATTCCCTCCCTCCCCCCTATCCCCAATCCCCTATCTGGATTACCTGCAATTTGGGAAAGGTGTAGTTCGTTCCCACTAGGCAGAGATAGGAGGTCCAGGGCTGAACCCTTGTATTAGTCCATTTTCTGTTATTATAATGAAATGCCTGAGGCTGGTTACTTTATAAAGAACAGAGGTTTAATTTAGCTCACAGTTTTGAAGGTTAAAAGCCCAAGATCAGATGACCCATGGATCCAGGTCCTTTTGGCTACATCACATCATGGCTGATGGCATCACAGTTGGGCACCAGTGTTGGTACAGAAATGTCATACTGATGAGACAGGAAGAGAGTGGGGATGATCTCCCTTGAGGTGCTGCCTCTTACCACCACCTCTTACTACCATACCATACCACATGAACCCTAGGAAACACATTCAAACTTTATCCAAACCAAATCAGTGCTCCTGCTTGAACAGAATGTGACCTGCAGGATGTCAGAGTCAAATGGCCCATTTGATTAAGTTCCGTCTATCCTTAAAGTGGCTGATTTTGTTTTCACAGAAAAACCTCTTCAGGCAGTGGTGCTGAGGACCCTAGGTATGACTCAGCCCTGGGGCAGCCTTGTGGCCCCAGGTGGCTGCTCAGTGCAGGGCTGGGTGCCGGATGGAGTGGGAGGCATGGGGCTCCATGGACATCTCAGGGGTTTCTGTGGCTTTTTGCATGCAAGGGGCTACCATGCTGAGATCAGACACTTCACAAATTCACCAATTAAATGTCTTCACTTGGAAATGGAATCAGGGTATGAATATAGGGGAAAATTTTAACTAACACACTCTTCCTAAAACACAGAATAAAGGGGGTATGCTTTCTGGGTCCTTCCCCTACATCTTAGTTTCTACCCCCTTCTCCCCCCCCCCCGCCCCCGCAAGCCTCCATCCACACCTACTGTGCCATGTGTGCAGAACCTTGGAGCACAGACATTATAGTCTCTTCCTGATGGGCGTCCTGCTCACTCCAGCAGCTCCTACTTAGTGCAGGGAGACTGAGCTGAAAGAGAACATTCTTAGTAAGCTCAGTCTCATCCTGTGCGTTGAACCACTACAATAAGAGATGGAACAGGCAGCCTGAACAAAGGAATATTGAGTGACTTGCGTTTACACTAAGGAGAGTCCAATATGTTTCCCTGAAAAAAAGTGTTTTGGTGGGGAGGGGGAAGTGGAGTTTGAGCTAAGGGCTTGAAAAGCAGGCACTCTACTGCTTGAGTCATGCCTCCAGTCCATTTTGCTCTGATTATTTTGGAGATAGGGTCTTGTGAACTATTTGCCTGGGCTGGCTTTGAACTGAGGTCCTCCTGATCTCAGCCTCTAGGTAGCTGGGATTACAAGTGTAGCCACTGGTACCTGATTGCAATTTGTATCTTAAAGAATGAAGGGATATGGTTCTAGGGAAGAGATCAAACAAGGAGAACTTGGGGAAAGACAACTAGTTGGGAAAAGCCATGAACTCTTGGCAGGAACAAGAAGCAAGACTGGAAAGGCAGGTAGGGGCCACACTGAAGGTTTCCTGTTAGTGAAGTATTTATTTGCAAGCACCTGTGTGGCCTGATCTGACCTCTAGTGGCCATTTGGAATACAGAATCTTGTGGCCTTTCCCCTAAGCAGGATTTCTCCATTGTCACGCGTCATTGGTAATGGGGGCTACATCATTCTCTGAGGTGGAGGGGTGGGGTATTCTGAGGACTAGAGGATGTTGAGCCGCATCTCTGGCTTCCACCCACTTCCCACTTCCATGCCAGCAGTGTAGCTGCTTCCTAAAGTAGTGACAACCAAAGATACCTCCAGACATGTTCCAGTGTCCTTTGGGGCTGGGAATAGAAAGATCCTTGGTTGAGAACACTGGCTTAGTGTGAGGTTGCCAGACAATCTCATTCTAAAGCTAGGAAAGGAGGGGCATGTCTTTCCCATGAGAGGTTAGTCAATACGTTTGTTTTTATTTATTTTTTTTTGTGACACTGGGATTTTAACTCGGCCTCACACTTACTAAGCAAGCTTGAGTCACTCTGCCAGCCCTGTATTTGGGTTTTGGACACTATGTAGCCTGTCACACTGTTTAATTTTACCCCTTTGAGAATGACTAAGCACTTAAGGAAGTAGGTACAATGCAAATAAACCCAAAGTCAATAGATACACTAGCAATAAATACTCTAATCAGAATATAAGATAGGGGAAAAGATCACTTTCTTTTTTTTCTTTTTTGGCAGCACTGGGGTTTGAACTCAGGGGCTCATGCTTGCTAGGCAGGAGTTCTACTTGAGCCACTCCACCAGCCTTTTTTTGTGGTGGGTTTTTCAAGATAGGGTCTCACAAACTATTTCCCTAAAATGGCTTTGAACCTCAATCCTCCTGATCTCTGCCTCCTGAGTAGCTAGGATTACAGACGTGAGCCACCACCACCTGGCCAGATCCCTTTCATAATTGCTGAAAAACCTCACGATAAACCCATTTAGAATCACCTGAAAAGGAAACAATCAGGATTTTTACTGATTCATAAAATTTTACAAGTGCATGTGAAAGGCTGTGTTTTTGAAACACTTAAAGGAAGTTTACCAGCAAATAAATGGGTAAACTGTAAAAATGAAAAATGGAAAGTTAATATCTTAGACTTTAAAATGTGACTGTCTGTCCAAATGTCTACATGACTAAATCCAAATGTCTGTGAATAAACAGTGCAGGTATAGTGATAAGGAAAACGCTAGAAATTTATGGAAAGATGTGCAGAGTTCAGGGAGGGACATTCCTTAGAAAAGCACGGAGAACCCGTCAGTAAAACAGAGTTTACGTGCAGCCAAACAAAGCTGTAATTAAAGTGGTCGACTGATGCCATATTTTAATCTGGGACAAACCACCCACCAACAACAAAAAGAATGCTAATGTTGAACCCTCAGCTTGGCTGAAGTTCAGTGTCGTGGCTTGTAGGTGAGGCCACAAGTTGATACAAAGCTTTCAGATAACAATGTAGTGATATGTATAAGGAAGTTTAAAAGGTTCCATATCTACTTGGACTTAGTGATGTTTTCTTCTAGGATCTACTTTTGAAAACTAATAAGTAAATCAATGATAAAAGCAGTATTTATAATATCAAAAAATTGGGAATACTCATGTATATTTTGTGTTGGATCAAGTCCAGGACCTTGTGCATGTTGTACCACTGAGCTACAGTCTTAGCCCCTGGAAAATATTGTTATTTAGAAAATAGGAAGATGAGGAGAGGGTGAAGGAGGGCAAATATGATGGATGAATTTTGTATTCATGTATGAAAGTAGAACAATGAAGCCTTTTGATATTGTTCTAAGAAGAGAGGAGAGGGGATGAGGTCACAATGGAGGGGGTGAATCTAATTAAGATACATTGTAAGCACATATGTAAATGTCACAATGTATCCCCCTGTACAACTATTATATACTAATAAAAATAAACAAAGAAAATAGGAAGTGAGCCAGGCCTGCTATTACACGCCTGTAATCTCAGCACTGGGGAAATTGAGACAGTAAGATCACAAGGTCAAGGCCAGTGTGGGCTACATTAGAGAGACCCTGCTTCAAAAAAAAAATGAAAACAGCAACGGAAAAAGAAAAACAATAAAACAGGATGGTTAAGTGAAGGATGGCTTATGTATTAAGTGTAATATTTTACAGCCAAAAAAGACTTTCCAAATTTTCTGCGAAGACCACGTGCCCCTTTTGTAACTAAGAGGAGAGAACCCTAATGTTTAGAGAGAAAGAAATGAAAACCCTGTCCCACTTAAGACATTATGTTTTAAGGAAAATACTTAATGGATGTTTCCGTGCTGACAATTACCTTGAGCCTCATCTCTCTCTCTCTCTCTCTCTCTCTCTCTCTCTCTCTCTCTGTCTCTCTGCCTCTCTCTCTCTCTCTCTCTCTTTCACACACACACACACACACACACACACACACACACTGTTTTTAAGAAGAAAAGCAATTGTCTAAAGAAAACAGCACATACTGGAATTATGAGGCATTTAAATTTTCTTCCATAGACTTTATGTTTAGATTTTTAAAAATTTGTTGGTTCTTGACATTTATTTCCTAATATATGTCTTTAAGGGGCGGGAGAAGTGAGCCAGTGGGTTAGGTGTTTCTTGGATTTGCCCTTTATCCCTGTGATACGATTTTCTCGTCTAAGAATCCAAATGTCATCACTCATCTACCTTACACAGAATGAGAAAGTGTGTTCCTTCTCTTTCAATTGATGATGTGCATTCCTAACTTGTCCTCTTGGGCTTTCATGAATAGTTCCAGTCTTGAATGCTTTCAACATCTTATTTTTTAACACGGAGCCTGGTGGCTAATCCTGGGCAAATGGGAAACCAGCAATCAAGCATGATGAGGGGGGATATGGGTGTGGCTTTTATGGCCCTGGAACCACCGGCTCTCAGCTCTCAGGGATGAGCCTCCTTTCATACTGAAGATCCCCCATGAGCATCTCCAAAGGTGCTCCAGGTGGTAATTTTTGGCAATTTGCATTTTAATCCATGTGGCCCTGTACCTCCCTGCACCCCATTCTTTCTTTGTAATTAAGCCTTGTATCTCCAGCATCCTTTTCAGATAGTGATGGTATGTTCACACGTGTTCTACTGTCATTCCAGGCCCTCCAGGAAACGCAGGTCTCTTGGTGACGTGGTAAATGTGACAATGGCTGTGCCCACGATCCCGGTTTTCCCCAATGTCTCCTCCACTGTGGTGCCCACAACCCCCGAGGAGCACAGGCCCTTCGAGAAAGTAGTGAACAAGGAGTCCCTGGTCATCTCAGGCCTGCGCCACTTCACTGGCTACCGCATCGAGCTGCAGGCCTGCAACCAAGACTCTCCTGAAGAGAGGTGCAGCGTGGCTGCCTATGTCAGTGCCAGGACCATGCCTGAAGGTACACTGTGACCGGGCTGACACTTTATGGGTAGGAGACCCAGCTGACCAGGGGCAAAACCTCTACCCTCAAGGTGGTATGGATGTGGACTTTAACATGTTTGCATTCACTGCTGGTTTTGAGATGGGTCTCACTGTGTTGCCCAAGCTGGCTCCAACCGCTGGGCTGAGGTGTCTTCTGCCTCACCCTCCCAAGTAGCTGGGACAGTAAGGGTGCCATACTACAGCCAGCTTACTGTTTTTTGGTTGCAAGAGTCATGCACAGTTATTATGTAAATTTCAGAAAATACACACAGACCATAAGAAAAATAGAATAAGTTGAGAGAAATTTAGCTGTAGTGTACTAAGATTCTACAGAGAGACAGAACGGATTGTGTGTGTGTATGCACATGTGTGTGTATTACATATAAATGTACGTATTTCTGTCTCCATGAATGTAAACACTTGACTATTTTAGGGACCTCCAATAAGTGGCCCCATATAGTATATTGTTATGATTGGGAACGATACCCATATCTATCTATCTGTCTCTATATCTATCTGTCTGTCTGTCTATCAATCAGTGACTTCTCGATAGATAGATGGGGGGGGGGGTGTGCGTGTGTGTGTGTGTGTAGGGAGAGAAATTGAGAATTTGCCCATGCAATCTAGATAAATCCAAGCTCTGCAGAGGAGGCCAGCCATATAGAAACCCAGGGAAGATTCACAGTTGAAGCCAACAAACCATCTACTGCAGAATTCCTTCTTGTCTGGGCTCTTCAGCCTTACCTTTCTTAAGGCCTTTAGCTGATTGCATGAGGCCAATCTACATTATGGAGGGTCACTGACTTTACTTAGTGTACTCATTTAAATACTAATCTTACAAAATCTCATTAAAAAAAAACAGCTTTACAGAAACATCCAGAACAATCTTTGGCTCAATATCTGGGTACCATGGCACAGCCAAGTTGACAAAACATTCCTTCTCTGTGGATTCCATATCCATAGATTCAACCAACTGCAAAAATTGAATATTTCTAAATATCTAAAAATATTTTTGAGAAAATTGCAAATGCATCGAACATAGACTTTTCCCTTGATGTTAGTCCCTAAACAATATAGTATAACAACTATTTTGATGGCAATTACATCATATCAGGTGTCATAAATCATCTAGACATGAGTTGAAGTCTACGGAAGGATGCATCTACATTCTGTGCAAATACTCTGTTATGTGAGAGGCTTGACCATGTGTGGATTTTGGTGCTCTCAGGGAAGGCCTTCAAACAAGTCCCCATGGATGCCAAGGGACAACTGTACCAAATTTGTATTAGATGTGACCATTGGTGGAAGCTGGTAGAAGGTCCAAGAGAACTCCTTGGGCTATTTTTGCAGCATCTCATGGGTCTTAAATGACTTTAACATAAAAGATATATAAAGAAAATAACTCAATGACTCTTTCTAACTGTCCCATGAAATGAGTTTCGTGCGTATGTTTTTGGCAAGAAGAATAGGATGTGGCAAAATTATGTAATTAGTTCAAGGCCACTCGGTCATTAGGTGGCAAGGGTTGGATTTGGTCTAAGAGTATGTCCCAACCTCTAATCCCGGCTTCTTACAGCCAAGGCAGATGATATCATTGGCCCTGTGACCCATGAAATCTTTGAGAACAATGTTGTTCACTTGATGTGGCAAGAGCCTCAGGAGCCCAACGGTCTCATTGTGCTATATGAAGTGAGTTATCGGCGATACGGCGATGAGGTAAGGGGTTTTGAGTCTTTGGTATACACCTTGAAAGCTGTACTTGTTGTCTCTTTCACTCTGCTTAAATTCTGATTCAAGTTCTTCCCTTATCCCATGCTGTGTTATTAGGACTCCGAGCCTTGACACACAACTTTCTAGGGAGCTAGAACAGAAATGCCAACTTAAAACCTTTTATTTCTTTCATAATTGCATTTCAGCTGTCTCCTCCAAGTTGGATGGTGGCTGCTGCATTTGTGTCCTTCCTGAAAATGCCACAGACTCATTTCACTTTAGAGAGATTTATATGAATTTGGGAATGGATCAAGTTAAGACCTTAATGAGAGAATTTTTGATGGATATCTTCCTTGTGCACCAGACACTGTAAAAATTGATGGGTGAATCCAGAGATACGTAAGAGATAGAATCCAGTAGGAAAAACCAAGAGCATCTGAGCTGTCTGGAGGGCTCACTGTGTGCTTAACACTCTGTACTTCATTTATCGTCTTCTGTCACATCTAAGATGTCACAAGAACCTCCATTGTTTTTATGGATCACTAAGAAATAAAAAGTCACTGCCAATTCCAGGTGCAAGAAGTAATGTCACAGTGTGAATCAGTCCATTTTTCTCTGGTTATTTTGGAGAATAGGGTCTTGTGAACTATTTACCCAGGCTGGCCTCGAACCACGATCCTCCTGATCTCAGCCTTCCAAGTAGTTAGGATTTCAGGCATGAGCCACCAATGCCTGGCTTGCAGCCTGTTTTTAAATGCCTTGCAGAGAGCTGTAAAAAGGAATAAGAGGAATATGCAACAGAAACCATTTGTGAGAAAATAAATTTTAGAAAATAGAAGTGCCCTTGCTGAAATAGTCATTTGCTGCTGATTTGGGGAACCTATTTGCTAAACAAATGGCCTAGTTTGCCTTTTTTGTTTTGTTGGTTTTGGAAGTACTGGACTTTGAGCTCAGGGCCTTGTACTTGCTAAACAAATGCTCTACCACTGGAGCCATACCTCCAGCCCTTTTTGCTTTAGTTATTCTTTAGGTAGAGTCTCCTGCTTTTTGAACAGACCAGCCTGGACCTCGGTCTTCCTTCTTATGCCTCCTGTATAGCTGGGATGACAAGCATTGCACCACCATGCCTAGCTTTTTTTGTTGAGAGAGGGTCTTGCTAACTTTTTGCTGGGGGTGGTCTTGAACCTCTAACCTTCCAATCCCTTGTCTCCTGAGTGTGGGATTACAGTGCCCAGTCCTTTTTCCTTGATAGGAGCAGAAGACGGAGAAAATTAGGAGCAGGGTTTATATCACCTTCTTAAAAATCTTTTCCTAGAGATTTATTTGGTTATTTCCAAGATTATCCTTAATTGCTTAGCATTGTTTTGATCAAGAAAAAAAGTAATATAAAATTTTATGTATACACAATTTATACTACTGGAGTATGGTCGTCCTCCTGTCCTTGGAGGAGACATCCCAAGACTCCCAAAGTGTGTCTGAAATCACGAACAGTATTAAACCCTATGCATACTTGCTTTTTCCTATACATATGTACATATCATAAGTTTAATTTATAAATTAGGCACAGTAAGAATAAATACTACTAATAAAATAGATGCCTAGGGTAAGGTTTATTTATAAACAAGGCACAGTAATAGAATAACCAGCAATAGCTAATATTTAAATTGAGCAATTTTAACCATGCACTCTACTAAAAGTTATTTAAACACATGAATTGTTTATTTCTGCAAATTTCCATGTAATATTTTTGGACCACAGTCGACCTTGGGTAACTCAAACTACAGATAAGTAGGGACTGCTATATATTTTATCACACTGATAAAATTCTCTCCAGCATTTGGTGGGAGGTAACTGTTTTCTTTTTGGCTACATTAATAGACAAAATTGCCTCTAACTGTTTGATGGCATGGTGTAACCCTTAATCCTTGCATTAAAATCATTTGTCACAACTCACCCCCCCCACCTCCCCTCAGACACCCTGTCACCAGGATGTCCACTTCCTCCTGGGAAAAGACATCAATTTTTTTGGTGCCGGAGTATCTTTTGAAATTTTTGGTCTCTTTCTCTTGTTGGCACAGATTTTTTTATGTACTTGGCTTCTTTACCCTTGCTTTTCTTGTTTTTGTTTTAGGGTTTATGTGTGTTGGTGTGTAGGGGGAGCCCTTTGTAGGTTCTGGATCTTTCTGTCATGCTTCTTTCTTGCTCTTCACCTCTTGTGGTGTTGGGGGGTAAAAGACTAGCCTCACACAGTGCCATTTCCCCTTTGTCCCTGAGAGCAGCTCTCCTAGGTTTCTATATTTGCTTATTTTTCCCTTTCTACTTGGTGACTCATTCTACTTGAACCTTTGGACTGAGTTCCCTGCCCCCCACCTTTTGCCTGCCCGGCCTGTTTGTTTTCTTGTTATTATTGTCACATGATAAGCATGGGGGTTTTTACAGCTCTTTCTCTTCCCAGCCCTCCTCCCCCTACAATGTTCCAGCTCGGTTCTCTGCATGCACTATTAACTCTGGAACTGTTTTGGGAGGTTTTCCAAGTTTTGATCTCATGCTTACAGGTCTGACTGACTAACTCCCCAGTGAGCCCCTTGTCATCCCTAATAGTTCTGTGCTTATCTCTAGTTACGTGCTTATCATGGGGTGTGCACCCCACTTTGTTTATGTCCCATTCTAAAAGACATTTGGGTGGGTTCCAACTCTTTATGATGATTAAGAAAGAAGTTAAAAGGTAGCACGTGGGAAGGAAAGAACTGTTTTTATTTGTTCTTAAACACTAAGCCCGTGGATCCCTTTGGTCCTGGTGAGGCTGGGAGGTGTGGGAAATGAGTTAGGCCATGAAGGATGCCTTCATTCCCAACTGTTTGAATGACATTGCCAGAGGCCTGGCCACACCAGCCCTCGATGAGGGGGGTCTCCAGTAGAGCCAGACAGTTCCAGGCTCAAGGGCTGGCCCTGCTGTTTCTCAACTGTGAGAATCCACCACTAGTTTTTGTCAATTTAAAATTGGTTAAATGATTATAACAATCATTTAATCTCCTAAGGCAGGGGTAGGTCAGCAAACACCATCTGTGATCTATCAATCACTTTTTTTCTCTTTTTGTGGAACTGAGGTTTGAACTCAGGGCCTTGCACTTGTGAGGTAAGCACCTTACCACTTAAGCCCACCCCCCAGCCCTTTTGCTTTTCTTTGTTTTCAGATAGGGTCTCCTGCTTACTTTTAATCAGGCTGGCCCTGAACTGTGATTTTCCTGTATTTACCTCCTGTGTAGCAGGGATTACAGATGTGGGCCACCATGCTGGGAAGATCACTTTTACTTTTCAAATGGTTGGAAACTCCAGGTGCGGTGGTGCACACCTGTAACCCCAACACTTGAGGGGCTGAGGCAACAGGATCATGTGTTCAAAACCAGCCTGGGCTACCTAGCAAACTTTGTCTCAAAATCCAAAAGACAAACAAAAAACAAAAAAGGGTTGGAAGAAATCAAAAGAAGAATAAGGAGAGATGTTGAAGAAAGGGCACAAAGTTTTAGTTAAGGAGAAGATTTTCTAGGAATCTATTGCACTGAATAGTGAATATAGTTTAATAGGACGTATTTCAAAATTACTAAAAGAATAGACTTTAGGTAGAGAGGGTGGGAGATAGAAGGAGGTGGTATAACAGCACTAAAATACACTTAAATAGGAAGAGTAGTTGTCGTTTGTTTTACAGCGTAGTGGGTTGACTATAGTTACGCAAATTATACATAGTAGAGATATATTGAATTATTACCTTGTACCTCATAAATATGCATTCTAGTTACAATGTAGCAACTAAAATTTTAAATTAGACTAAACAAAGTATACATTAAGATGTTTTCGCCACAAAGAAGTACACAAAGAAGTACTGGATCTGGTGGTGCATGCCTGTGATTCCAGGAACTCCGATGGCGGAGGTAGGAGGATCTCAGTCTGGGGCCAGTCTGGGTAAAGCTTGAGACCCTATCTGAAAAACAAAGTAAAAACAAAATGCCCAGTGGAGTGGCTCAAGTGGTAGAGTACTTGTGTAGCAAGCGTGAGGCCTTGAGTTCAAACCTCAGTACTGCCAAGAAAAAAAATAGAGATCTCATTACAAAGAAATGATACCTATGAGCTTGTTTTAATCATTCCACAATATGTACATGTAATATATTATCACACAGTGCCTGTAAATACATGTTAAGTCAAAGTAAAACTTCAGAAATTTAAAATAAATTCATGACACATGACAATTATATGAAGTTCAATTTTCAGGACACCCAAAGTGTTATTGGCTTACCCATGCCTGTTTGCTTCTGCATGTTAATGGGTTTGTCTGTGGGTATTTTCAAGGCACAGTGACAAAGTTGAGTCAACCATGAGGTGGGACAATTTGCTCAGGCCCTTAATGGCATCCTTTTGCCAACAGTATCCTAAGCCCCAGTTCCTGGCCCATCACCCAGGGCTGTGGTACCCAAGGGACAGGACTAATGTGAGATGGGGAAGGAATGATGCCAGTGGGATGCTTAGCTTGGCTCTGTCTCCTTATCCCCAGTCCCTCAGTTCTCAGAGCAATCTGTGTGTCATACTCTGCTTTTGCTTGTGCTCCCTGGGTGTCGTCTCTGAGTGGGATTTCCACTGTGACATCCCACCTGGGCTGCCTGTCCCCACATGTGCAGAACTCAGCCATCTTCTCCTTCCTTCTAGGAACTCCATCTCTGTGTCTCCAGGAAGCATTTTGCCCTGGAGCGGGGCTGCAGGCTGCGCGGGCTGCCACCGGGGAACTACAGTGTCCGAGTCCGGGCCACCTCCCTGGCTGGCAATGGCTCCTGGACGGAACCCACCTATTTCTATGTGACAGATTACTGTAAGTCTCTGTGGCAGCCTCAAGTGCTGGGCTTGGTGCTGTGGGCATGGTAGAACAGTTCAGAGCATGACTAGGGAAGCTAAGGTGCTGGCCTTGACCTTGAAGTTTGGATCCAAGATGGTTCTGTGTGACCTGTGGAAATGTTTGCCCTCTCTGAACCTGTACTTCCATTCAGTCCTCAACATCTGCACAGTCAATCCTCCATAGTTACTGGTTTTGCATTCCCAGATCCAACCAACCACAGATTGAAAATATTTGAGAAAAATACTGTACTGAAAATGTATAGACTTTTTAAAAAAATCGTTATTCCCTAAACAATGCAGTATAATCACTCTTTCCCTAGCATTCACATATATCAGGTATTTTAAGTCATCTAGAGATGATTGAAATGTACAGGAAGATGTGTGTGGGTTTCATGCAAACACTATGCTATTTTACAAAACAGACTTGAATGTCCAAGGATTTCAGTATCTGAGGGGGTTCTAGAACCCAGCCTCCTCAGATACAGAGGAATGACTGTATGTGGACAGAATGACAAGCCACGTCAGGAGGTGGGGGGAGGTCTCAGTGATGTCGTGAATGCCACGTTGCTGACACGGGACCTCTGGTGGCCACGTCAGCTTCTGCTATTCATGTCTCCATCTTGGTTAACAGATGGGCGCATGTACCCCATCTGGGTATAGCAATGTGTCCTAGGCAGGCAGTGTTCTCAATGTGCTGCCCTGGGAAAAGCCAGCCAACCTGCAGATGGGAGGTGAGCAGGTCAGGGAGTGCTTCCTGGAGGTGACAGCACTTTGGCCAAGACCTGGGAAAATGTATGGATGGAGGCAAAAGAGAGATGTTTAGTCCCTTGTGTGGTAGGAACCCAGATATTTGAACAAGCAAAATGATTTAGAAGGAGGGAAGATTCTAGATGAGGATGGGGGTGGTGCTTGAGTACAGAGGTGAGGTGGGACTTTAGCTGTCAGTTGGTTTCGCATACACTGGGCGCAGTATAGTCATGCAGAAAAGAGAAGTGATTATATTTATTTATTTATGTATGCATGTGTGTATGTACGTATGTATTTATTGGCAGTACCGGGGTTTGAATCCAGAGCCTTGCACCTGCTAGGCAGGTGCTCTGTGACTTTAGCCATGCCCCCAGCTCTTTTTGCTTCAGTTATTTTTCAAATAAGTTCTTGAACTTTTGCCTGGGCCAGTCTCAGACTGTAATCTTCCTATCTATGCCTCCCTCATAGCTGGAATTATACATGTGTATAAACCACTCCTGGTTTGTTTGCTGAGATGGGGTTTTGCTAACTTTTTGCCCAGGCTGAACTCCTAATCTCCTAAGTATCTGGGATTATAGGTATGAGCCACTGGGCTCAGGACAGTGATTCTTGATGGGCAGGTTCTGGTCAAGATCACAATTAGGATGGATATTCTGATTCAGCTTCATGTACTGCGAGACAGTTCTAACACCAACCACTGAGGACTTACAAGCTTACGTGCATGATGGTTTCCAACAGGACTGTACTAACCAGCTGCATGTTCAGGGGGCTCCAGACCACCCGCACTTCTGGTCAGCTGCTTACAAATTAGGGGGATTCTTATGAACCCTCCCTCTCAGATTTCATAATTGTCTAGAATGAGTCACAGACTCAAGAAAGCATGATAAGTATGAAGACAGCTTTATTACAAAAGATGTTAAGTCAGGACCCACAAATGAAGACATAAATGGTGGGTCTCAGAGGTGTTCCCAACGCAGACCTCCCAATTCCACCTCCCACAGGATGTGCCCCCCTCTACCTGTGGCAGGAAGCTCCTCTAAGTTCAAGTGTCCAGATCTTTTATTGGGGTTTCATTACATAAGCATTATTGATTGACTTACTGGCCACAGCACTGAATTCCATCTGTAGCCCCTGCTCCGTCCCTAGAGGTTAAAGTCCCAACTGTAACCAGATGTTTGGTTTTGGTGACCAGCCCTCCCTCCTGCGTCATCTCATATCTTAGCATCAACTCAGGGGTGACCAGGGGACTCACAAACAACAAAGACCATCCTCTCACTTGGGAACTTGTGGGGACTTGTGCCTCCCTCTTGTGAACGAAGACCAGTGAAGGTCTTTATCACACATCGGGAGGCAAGTGAGATGTCACTTTGGGAGGCACTATTCTCAGAGACTGACCTTGCCCTGTGTCCTCTAAGCAGACCTCAGCTTTGTACACAGGATGTCTTCCTTGCCTCAACTTCAGTTACTGGTTACAGTGGTTGCTGGAGTCTGAAGAATGGGCAAAACTGGGGGTCTGGAAGCCAGAGGAGGGGGTGGCCTGGTTATCACTCGATGCCCTTCTTCCCCCTTCTGACTTTTAGCCCCATGTGTAGCCCTGATTCCAGCTTCCCTTCTGCTAAGGAAGAAGGGAGGAGGGACACACACACACACAAAGGCATGTGACCATAGCTTTCCATTTGTCATGTCCTAGTCAATCACCAAATATTTACAGAATTGTTCTGTGGGCTGGGAGCCATCAGAGACAGCCATTTGCTGTCAGTTCAGGGAGAAGCAGGAGGGTGCAACAGAGCTGGCAACTAAAGACATCACAGAGCAGTACCTAAAAACAGACTCCTATTGCAGAGGTTCAAGTCCCTTTTCTGTTGGAAGCAGCTGCAGGACCTCGGGCATGGTACCCCCACGCTCTGCAAGTCTTTATTTTCCCAATCTATTAAATGGGGCTGGGCGTCTGTCTCCCTCCTTGACCATGAGAAGACTAAGTATTACCTGTGCAGAGCACTTCCACTGTGCCTGGCATTTAGTTAGGACATTGTTATAAAAAACCCAAAGGGTCCCAAGGCACCAATGGCTCATACCTGTAATCCCAGCTACTCAGGAGGCAGAGATCAAAAGGTTTGTGGTTCAAAGCCAGCCTGGGCAAATAGTTCCCAAGACCCTATCTTGGAAAAACCCAACATAAAAAGGGCTGGTGATGTGGCTCAAGGTGTAGGCCCTAAGTTCAGACCCCACTACTGCAAAAACAAACAAACCAAAAAACCCAAAGGGCCAGGTTTACTCCTTAGAGTTTCAGAACTTATTTTCTTAACTTTGAAGAGTGTATCTGTCTGAGTGGGTTTATAATTACAGATGACTTACCTTGGATGAGCCTGCTGAAATGTTTCCAAGAAGGGGAGAGGAGGATGAGGGAGCATAATGGAGGGGGTGAATTTATTAGGATATGTTGTAAGCATATATGTGTTACATTGACCCCCCCCACCACCTAATATATGCTAGTAAAAAAAGTAAAATAAAAATGAAAAAGAGGGCCATACCAGTTCTCCAGCTGGTTTTATAGGAGTCCTTTGGAGGTGGAGGGTAATACATTTTCTTTATTTGGCCTGGTATTCTTGGTGACCAGGTGTGTTAGTCAGCATTCTATCACTATAGCAAATCCTCCAGATAATCACCTTACAAAGAGGAAAGGTTAACTGGATGGTGGTGTCTCACACCTGTAATTCTTACTACTTGAGGGGCTGAGATTAGGAAGATTGTGGTCTGAGGCCAGCTTGGGCAAAAAGTTCATGAGAACCTATTTCAGCCAGTATCTGGGTGTGATGGCACATGCCTTTCGTTCCTGCTACAGTGGGAAGCTTGAAATAGGAGGATCATGGTCCATGGCAGCCTGGGCAAAATGTGAAACCCATATCCAAACTAACGAGAGCAAAAAGGGCTGGAGGCGTGACTCAAGCGGTAGAGCATCTGCCTAGCAAGCAAGAAGCCCCGAGTTCAAACTCCAGTACTACCAAAAACAAAAACAAGGAAACACAAAGGAAAGGTAGGAAGGGGAAGTTAGTGTTGAATGGTGACAGAGGTTCAGTTTGAGAAGTTGAGAAAGTTCTAGAGATGGATGGAGGTGATGGCTACCCACAGGGCACCTTCTGCATTGCCAGAGATGGTATTGGAACTGGCCCTGTCATTTCAGGGCCAGCGCAAAGTGCAAATGCAGGGGTCCTTGCTGAAGCATTGCTAAGGATTTCAAACTGGGATGAGCAGAGCATCAGACCCAATGCAAGGTGTGTCTGAACGCAGGTCCCCAGGTGACTACTGGACTGTGTGCGTGCAGAGCTGCTGCAGCGAGGAAGTCAGAGGCTAGCATGGGCAGTGATCCCCCATTGGGCCCCTGTGAGCCCAGTCTTTCAGAATGGCCAGAAGAGAGACGCTCAACAGAGTGTAGTCCCAGTGATGGGACTTTGGTGTGAAATTTGTTGTAAATCCATTTTGGTGTGGAACATGTGTTTTCTTACTGTATTTCAGTGGACGTCCCATCAAATATTGCAAAAATTATCATCGGGCCCCTTATCTTCGTCTTTCTCTTCAGTGTCGTGATTGGAAGTATTTACATATTCCTGAGAAAGAGGTGAGTGGGGAGCGTGCAAGTAAATGGTTAACATTTTAGGAAAAAATATGCCTAGATAACAGATGTAGATGAGGCTAACCTTATACATTCTACTAATATATGGTGTGTGCCTGCAATTTACATGTAGTAATCATAATATAATATACAACTTCTTTTTGGCAGTGTTGCGGTTTGAACTCAGAGCCTTGTGCTTGCTAGGCAATAGGCAAATGCTCTACCACATCAGCCACACTCCCAGACCCTTTTGCTTTAGTTTGTTTTAAGATAGGTTCTCATACTGTTGCCCAGCCTGGTAGTAGACTACAGTCCTACTACCTCTGCCTCCTGAGTACCTGGGATTACAAGTATATACTACCAAACCCAGTTGTTTGTTGAGATAGGGTCTTGCTTAACTTTTCTCTAGGGCTGCCTCAAACCACGATCCTCCTGTTCTCTGCTTCCCAAGTATCTGGGATTATAGATATGTGCCACCACACTCAGCTCCTGGTATACAATACTCCATAGCATAAATTCCCTCTAGCTCATTGATGCGCTCTGAAAGTTTTTGTTGACTTTTTTTCCTCAAACCTTTTTATCTGTAAGCAAGCTACAGTTGCAACTGATGAACATGTATAGTTCCAACCTAAATGTTGAGCCACCCTTTTTGGTGGTACCGGGGTTTGAATCCAGGGTCTCACTTGCTACACAGACTCTGTGCCACTTGAGCCATACCTTCAGTCTTTTTTGCTTTTAAGTTTTTTTTCAGATAGGATCTTGTGTTTTTCACCTGATGCTGGCCATAGACTGCAATCCTTCTAAAGTCTGCCTCCCATTTAGTTGGGATTATAGGTGTGAATCACTGTTCCTGGCCATTTTGTTGTTTTGAGACAGGGTCTCACTATGTAACCTAAGCTGGCCTGGAACTCATTATGTAGCCCAGGCTGGCCTCAAACTTGTGATCCTCCTGTCTCAGCCTCCCAAATGCTGAGATTGAGCTGTAAGAGCGCCTGCCTAGCAAGTGTGAGGTCCTGAGTTCAAACCCCTGTTTGAACCAAAAAAAAAAAAGAAAAACCCAAGTGTTGGGGGTACAGGTACTGGCACATACCACCATGTGCAGTTTGATTGATTTTTTTTGTTTGCGTTAAAGAGTAAGACAAAAATGATATAAGACATACATACATATTCATATATGTTATCTACTGGAAAAACAACTGAATAATTAATCATTTCCTGATTTCTAGTGTTTGCCTGTTCAGTGGTATAAATATCCCCACACTGGCCAATTCCAAGCTATAGTCATAATGTCACTGATCAGAGACCTTGGGGGAAGATGCCTCACAGTCTGCCATCGTACGGACAGTCCTAGACTTAAAATCCTCCTGTTTTAGGCTTCCCACTGTAGCATGGATGACAGGCATATGTCACCACACCCAGCTATTGGTTGAGCTGTTTTTGACTTGAGGATGGTGTGAATGCATTACACATTCAGCAGAAGCCATACCTCCAAGGTATGAATGCCAGTCTTTTCCCAGGATGGCAGCATGTCATAAGGTCATCTCTTGTGATGAGTGGCAGTGAGCACCCAGGAAGCCACAAAGTCACGAGGGTGCACAACTGACCATGCAGTGTAGTGTTGTGGGTATTGTGTTCTGTGTTTTCAAATTCTGTCTGTGCGTGTGAGATAGTCAATACTTTATTCTAAAATCGCCTTTTGTGTGAGACAGTTTTCCCAAGTATAGGCTCAGGTAAGTTTTGTGAGCACATTTAAGGTTGCGAGGCTAAGCTATGATGTCTAGTTGATCAGATCTATTAAATACATGTTTGACTTGTGATATTTTCAACTTATAGTGCTTTATTGGAACATAACCCCATCATAAATAAAGGGACATTTGGACAGTGTTTCCACTGTAAGTGGATATAGGCATGTAAACGTGAGGTAATTCAAGAGTATCAGTCAGAAGCTGGGCACTGGTGGCTCATGCCTGTAATCCCATCTACTCAGGAGGCAGAGATCAGGAGGATCATGGCTCAAAGTCAGCAAGGGGCAAATAGTTTTTGAGACCCTGTCTCAAAAAAACCCATCACCAAAAAAGAGGTGGTGGAGTGGCTGAAGGTGGAGATCCCAAGTTCAAGCCTCAGTACTGAAAAAAAAAAAAGTATTAGTAAACTGTAGTCTAATAACTAGAAAATAAGTTTTGAGTGTTTATTACCTTTGCTTTTAGTCTAGTTTACTTGAGAGCCTCTCTAATTTAATTTTAATGATGGTTGTATTTAACGATGGGCTTGCAAATTTGCTGGAAATTTAACTTTTTTTTTTGGTGGTACTAGGGTTTGAATTCAGGGCCTCACGCTTGCTATGCAGGCACTCTACCGCTTGAGCCACCCCACCAGCCCTTTTTTTAATGTTTTTATTTTTCAAGATAGGGTCTCAGGAACTGTTTGCTTGGGGGTGACTTCAAACCTCCATCCTCCTAATCTCTGCCTCCTGAGTAGCTGGAATTACAGACATGAGCCTCTAGTACCTGGCTAATAGTTGTTTCTATCAGCCAGAACAAGCTGGCTCCAGAACGATCCTGGGGGGTGTAGCTTTTAGGTGTTATACAGAAACGCATAAATTACAGTACAGTCTACCCAGGGAGGAGTGTGCAGTCCCATATGGGTGTGTGGAGGGAGCCATCTTGATGAACTTCCAGGTAAAATGGAAGGGTCGTCATCTCTGCTTTGACTGTATATATAGGATTTACATGGATGATGATCAAGGTTGCTCTTCACCTGGGGTCTCAAGCTTGGGCAGAGCTTGACAGAACAATAAATCTGTTCCTGACTTGTGTGTACCTATTTCCATGGTGCTCCAGAATGGCCAATTCCAAACCTACAAGAGTGCCATGGGAATCTCAAGCTGATGCGTCTCCCTTTTCCTCCTTCAGGCAACCAGATGGGCCAATGGGACCACTGTATGCTTCCTCAAACCCCGAGTACCTCAGTGCCAGTGATGGTGAGTACTGTGCCCTTCTTTGTGGGTGGTCAGAATGCTACCTCCAGCTACCAAGTGAGAGCTGAGGGTTGGTGGACATCCCAGAGAGAGTGAGGAAAACCCCCTGTTTACCTGAGCTTGCTCACTTGCTGCAGAAACCCCGTTACTGTGAGCCATTGGGCACCTAGTGTCTGACGCCTGCTTGAGTGGGTGATGGAGCCGGTCTGGGACTCTTAGGCTGGAATGGGAGACTGAGAAGCTGGTGCCGCAGCCATGGGCGTGTGAACATGGAGAGGGTACTGAGGGTCAGAACCAGAAAGCTATGTCCAAGCTACTAGGTTGCAAATTGGAAGCCAAAATGGGAGACTAAGAAAATGTAAGAGCCAGAGACAGGATGGGACAGGTGGGAGGCTGGGCAAGGGCTAGAGGTACATCTACTGTGGCAGTTAAACCTAGGTGATAGTGGGAGCATAGGACTGACACCTGTATTGCCCTTGTCTGTGACCTCTGCAGAGAAGGCATGGTGCTTCCTTAAAGCCATTTGTTGAATGGCAGGTTTTATAGAGCTTCATGCAACAAAATCAAGTCAAACTTGACTTTCAAGGCATGCATGCACTTGGCCTTTGGATGGCTTCCCTCATCTGTTGGATGGTCAGCAGGGTGGGTGGTTCCAGGAGACAGCCTCACCTGGGGGTGTCTGAGCCTCCCTCCCTCCATGTGACCTCTTGGGCTTCCAGCAGGGTGGCCTAGATACCATTCCAGGTGTGCTCTGTGGGTTCTAGCAGCAAGGAAGGACAAGATCTAGGGCATTAGCACATCCCAACTGTCTGCCTGGGTCATGTTGCTGGTTCCCATTGACCAAAGCAAAATGCAAGGTCATGTCCAGGTTCAAGGGGCGGAAACATAGAATTAACCCCTTCATAGGTAGGACTGCTATGTCTTTTCCAAATCTACTATAAACTGCCCTTCCCTCCCACCACCCCTTCTTCCCTTGGCACTTTGCAAAACAACAGTTCCAATGAGAAGTAGCATTAATGAGAAGCAGGGATTTGAAATGACATAGGACAGGGAATGGGCCTTGGGGACAGATGCCTGCCGGTTCTGGGCTGTATGCCCATTGCCCAGTGGAGACCCTGGATCACAGAATGGATGGGTGTTTGTGGTGGGGCTCAACGGAAGGCTTTGATGGGAAGTGGCTGGAGACCCCCCCAAGGGGTTGGCAGAGAATGCTGTGTAGATAAGTGAGAAGTAGTGTTTCCGTGCTCTGTGTACGTGCCGGATGAGTGGGAGGTCCCTCGAGAGAAGATCACCCTCCTGCGGGAGCTGGGCCAAGGTTCCTTTGGCATGGTGTATGAGGGCAACGCCAAGGACATCGTCAAGGGCGAGGCAGAGACCCGTGTGGCGGTGAAAACAGTCAATGAGTCAGCCAGTCTCCGGGAGCGGATCGAGTTCCTCAATGAGGCATCGGTCATGAAAGGCTTCACCTGCCATCATGTGGTGAGTCTGGTTGGGATGGGACAAAGGCTTCTTGTCATACCCTTTCCCTCACCCTGCCACCTACTGCACAGAGCCACTAAGAATACTGACATGAACTTGTGCCCACCCCATATCCTATTAAATAAGCCTCACATCCTAAACTTGTGAGGAGGGAAGGTCTGTCCCTTCTTCATCCCATCCTCTCCAGCCGCAGCTGGAACCAAACTCCATCATCTCCCCTATTGCTTTCTAGAATCTTCCCATTGCTTTCCAGAATTTTCCATTGTGTTCTGGATTCTTCCATCTCTTCCCTCTTCCTGGCTCCTTTGTAACCTTTGACTACATGGAGATTCATCACTTCCACCTGCTCTCGTTCCTACATCCCCTTGAAGCCAATACAAACATTCCCTGCCTTTCTGCTCTATGATGGCCTCTTCATTTCTTGTTGGGGTCTGTGTACTTTTGTTCTAACCATTGTTTCAATGGGGCACCTAATCCCCTTTATTACCCCTGTGCTTCAGTACATTTCTGCCTTCATGGACCTTCCAGAGCAGAGGCAGGGGAGACCAGTTCCCAACTGGATATGTGAATTACATGTTAGGAGAAAATACTACAGAAAGATGAAAAAAGAGGAGATAGAAGGGTTGAGGGGTACACATGAGCAAAGATTTAAAGGACGTAAGGGACTGGGATCCCCATGGACAAAGGAGGGAACAATAGGAAGAGTGAGTCAAGAGATCTGGAGGGAGGAACACACCTGTGTGCTCAGGAACATTAAGGAGGTAGCATTTCCCTTGGAATGTCCCGTAGGTGGGCAGGTCTGTTTGCTCTCTGGGACCAAGACTGTCCACTCTCCATCCAGGTACAGGGTACCATGTGTGCTGTAGACACCAGAGACCATGGTGAGTTGAAATCATCCCATGAACCCTTATCCAAGAAATCTCATACTTTCTCTGCAGGTTCGTCTCCTGGGGGTGGTGTCGAAGGGCCAGCCAACGCTGGTGGTGATGGAGCTGATGGCTCAAGGGGACCTGAAGAGCTACCTTCGTTCCTTGAGGCCTGAGGCTGAGGTGAGCCACCTCTAGGTCCCTGGCAGAGCACCTGCTCCTGGCTGCGGGAGTGACAGGTGTCACTGAACACAACCTCGTGTTTCGACTTTAGAATAATCCGGGTCGCCCTCCCCCAACCCTGCAAGAGATGATTCAAATGGCAGCAGAGATAGCCGATGGCATGGCCTACCTGAACGCTAAGAAGTTTGTGCACCGGGACCTGGCAGCTCGAAACTGCATGGTCGCCCATGATTTTACCGTCAAAATTGGAGGTTCGTCTTATAACCTTTTTTGTCTGCCTTGAAATGTACAACCTGGGCTGGGTTTGATTTCAGGAAGAAGTTTCCCAGAATTAGTTGTAAAATCTCTTCTGATTGTGTCAAGGGGCACAATCTGGGGTGTGAGGGGGTGGAGGGCCCCATCCTCCAGCTGTAATTTAATTGTGTTCAATTCACTCACTCATCCACTTCTAAAAATATGTGTGTACCTAGTAGGTGCTAGTCACTGCAGAAAATGCTAGAGATGCCACCTGGAGTAAGTCACCGTGATCCCATTTAGCTTGGAGTCTTTATCTGTGTGATCCAGCATAGTGTTGTCCCATGTGGCTATTTCCTTTGAAATTATTATTATTATTATTATTATTATTATTATTGTCGGTACTGGGGTTTGAATTCAGGGTTTATACCTACTAGACAGGTGCTCTTCCACTTGAGCCACTCCACCAGCTCTTTTTTGTGATTTTCTTTTTGTTTGTTTTTTGTGATAGGGTCTCTCAAAACATTATGACCAGGCTGGCTTCGAACTGTGATCCTCCAGATCTATGCCTCCTTAGTAGCTAGGATTGCAGGCATGGACCACTGGTGCCCGGCTTGAAACAAATTTAAATTAAAAGTACAAATTCAATGAGTTCAATAGCTATCCAAGCCTACTGGCCACCATATTGGAGAGTGCAGGTATGAACCATGTTCATTACCACAGGAAATTCTCCTAGGAAGATAAATAATAGTATTCACACTTACATAAATAAGATGCAAAAGACTGGGCAAAGAGCGATGAACAAAAAAAAAGGCCTCATGTTAGAGAGAAACCAATTCAGTTTAGGAAATGGCTGTCTCCATAGGAAGGCAGTGTTTCAGCCAAGACTGGCAGGATAACTCAGAGCATCCAGGGGAACGAGACAGCACATCCAGAGAATGAAAAGATAGCTGATGTGATATGAATAAAACGGATGTGGCTGAGACAAGAGCAGCATGTGGTTGAGCTGAGAGTCTTGAACTAGATCTGGGAGGTGGGTGCCAGTGGCTCATGCCTGTAATCCTAGCTTCTTGGGAGGCTGAGGAGGATCATAGTTTGAGGTCAGTCCAGGCAAATAGTTTGAGAGACCCCCATATCAAAAATAACCAAAGCAAAATGGACTGGAGGTGTGGCTCAAATGGTAGAGCACCTGCTTTGCAAGTATGAAGCCCTGAGTCAAACCCCAGCCCCATAAAACAAAAAAATAAATAAAATAAACAGATCCTGGGCCTTGCAAGTTGTAGGAAGTCATTTGGCCATTGTTTTACAAAGCCAGTGGGAAGAAGGAAGGGATGGGATCCTGTTTATGATCTAAAGAGTTATTTATTCTCCCACATTAGTGATGGGATTCAGGAAGGAATGTGACCCCATTTGTAATCCCCAAAGACCTCATCCCGCATTAGCAATGGGAAACAAGAAGAGAGACAATCCTATTAATAATCCCAAAAGGCCTCCTTCATTAACACTGGGGCCAGGAAGAGATGTGATCCTGTTCATGTAGCCTCTGTGGGTGGTGGGCTGTCTTTAATCAGGTTGGTGGGACAGGTCTACAGGTGAGAGGTGCTGGTGAGCCTGGATAGTGCCAGGGTAAGGAGGGGGAGAAAGGGGTTAGAGAGAGAGATGGAGGCAGAGAGGCTGGATTGAGCATTGCTTGGGATGTGATTCCAAGTTTCTGTTTGAGCAGCTGGATGGGAGGCAGGCCTCTCTCTAGTGGGGAACAGGTTGGCTGGAGAAAGTCAAAAGTTCATTTTGGGAGGCCAGTGAGGGTACAGGTGTAAAGGATGCATTGTTAAGAATGGAATTCCCAAGCTTCAGGGCAGAAGGTTACTGCTTTACCACTTGGTACCTCATCCCTCCCCACCCCACCCCCTTTAATGGCAGCCCATTTTCTCCTCCTACATCTCCATGTACCCACTCAGAATCTATTCTCAAAGGAATTGGCTGCCACCCAGGTGAGCACACACCTGGAGTGGGGGAGTCAGGTGAGCCCCTCTAAGGGCCCTGTGAGGAGTGGGGCCCTCAAGATAGCAGACGCTAGGGCCATGGGCTGAAGGTTAAGAGTGTGTGAACTGTTTGTTGTCAGACTTTGGAATGACCAGAGACATCTATGAAATGGATTACTACCGGAAAGGGGGCAAGGGCCTGCTGCCTGTACGGTGGATGGCACCCGAGTCCCTGAAGGATGGGGTCTTTACCGCATCTTCTGATATGTGGTGAGTTCTTCATGGATTAGCAGACAGGAGCCCTGCTAATGTGACTAGAAGAGGGGGCGGGGGAAAGGGGTGTTCTATCTGAGGACCTGTACGTGGCTACTCTTACATTCTCATTAAGAACTATCATACAGGAATTTATGAATTGTAATGCGAATTGTTTTATTAATTGGTCAGCTGGATTCTAGTGAACTAAAATGGTGTGTTTGTTGTGTGTGTGTGTTTTATTGACTACTTTGTTAATACTCTCCATTGTCACTGGTAGGTCCTTCGGTGTTGTCCTTTGGGAAATCACCAGCTTAGCAGAACAGCCTTACCAAGGCCTGTCTAATGAACAGGTGCTGAAATTTGTCATGGATGGAGGGTATCTGGATCAGCCCGACAATTGTCCAGAGAGAGTGTAAGTGTAGAAAGGGTTGCAGCGTGTGAGATGCTGTTTACATATGTGTTTGTATTTGCATTTGCATGTTGCCTGTCTCCATGCATGGTTGTGTTTGCATGCTGTGCACTTAAACGTGTGCTCGTTTGTGTGGCGTGACTACATAAATGCTGTGTCTGTGCATTGCATTTTGCATACAAACTTATGTTTGCATATGTGCCCACACGTTTGTGTATTGCATCTTTATACATGTGTTGTGTTTGCATATCGTATCTACGGGCATGCATGTGTTTTTGCATATCAGATCTTTATAAGCAGACTTGGTTTTGCATGCATTGCATTTTGCATACAAACTTATGTTTGCATATGTGCCCACACGTTTGTGTATTGCATCTTTATACATGTGTTGTGTTTGCATATCGTATCTACGGGCATGCATGTGTTTTTGCATATCAGATCTTTATAAGCAGACTTGGTTTTGCATGCACTATTTTTTTTTTTCCCCTGCGGTACTGGGGTTTGAACTCAGGGCTTCATGCTCACTAGGCAGGTGCTTTACTGCTTGAACCATGTGCCTAGCCATTTTTTGCTTTAGTTATTTTTCAGATAGGGTCTCATTGAGCCAGCCTTGGACCCTGATCCTCCTACCTATGCTTCTTGTCCAGCTGGGATGACAGGAATACAGCACCATACCTGGCTTTTTGGTTGACATGGGGGTCTTGCTAACTGTCCTGTCTGGCCTCAAACCACAATACTGATGTTTGCCTCCTTAGTAAATGGGATTATAGGCTTGTGCCTCCATGCCTGGCCCTGCGTGCACTCTTATGTTTACATATCTTATACGTCTTATTTGCATACTTCCATTTGCATGTCTGTTTTTATTCCATATCACATCTTTGGAAGGTTGTACAAGAAACCCACAGCAGTGCTTTCCTTGGAAGAAGGAAACTAGGGAATGATGGTGTAAGAGACCTATATTTAATATTCTTTTTCTTTATACACTTGGAATTTTGTCAGGCAAATATATTATGCATCTTGCCCCCGAAATAGTTCGCATCCCTAGAATTGCCATTTCTGCCTTGACAGTCATCTGTCCACTTGTCATTTCTGGATGTCAGCTGCAGAGACAAGGGGGTAGAGGAGCTGCTTGGCTGGGTCACCAGACTCATCGATGATGTGTGCCTCTGTCCCACAGCACCGACTTGATGCACATGTGTTGGCAGTTCAACCCCAAGATGCGGCCGACCTTCCTGGAGATTGTCAACCTGCTCAAAGATGACCTACATCCCAGCTTTCCAGAAGTTTCCTTCTTCCACAGCGAGGAGAACAAGGCTCCCGAGAGCGATGAGCTGGAGATGGAGTTTGAGGACATGGAGAACGTCCCATTGGATCGATCCTCACACTGTCAGAGGGAGGAGGCTGGGGGTCGGGAGGGAGGGTCCTCTCTGGGCATCAAGAGGAACTATGAAGAGCACATCCCCTACACTCACATGAATGGGGGCAAGAAAAACGGGCGGATTCTGACCCTGCCTCGCTCCAATCCTTCCTAACAGTGCCTGTTTGGGGAAGGGATTCCTGTAATCCCTTTCCTCTGGTTTGACACCTCCAGAAATCTCAGGATTCTCACAACTCTGCCCCATGTGAAACAGCTCAGAGATTGTTCGTACACATTTCTGTTCATCTTTTGACCTAACACGCACGCACACGCACACACACACACGTGTGATTGCCAACTCAACTAGTCGTCAGAGGATTCAACTGTGAACCTAGAGGGGAGGGGGCTTCCATGACAGCTGCCCCTTTGGCACCCACAGTTTCAAACCAGGATTTTCCTTTTTGTTGTTGTTTTCTAGTAGATTGAAAGAAAACACCTGTTTTTACAAAGATTGGTTGTTTTTTCCTTTTTCTTTTTTGCTGGTGTCTGAGCTACAGTATAAAAGATAAAACTTGTTTGTGGAACACAAGTTTGGAAGAAAGGAAAAACAAAACTGTGTTCCAGGAGAATCCCAAGCTTTCTAGGTGGGAGTTTGAAAGGTTTATTATTATTATTATTATTTTCTTCTCATCCAGGCAGAAGGATTTTATTTTTTGTTGTTCACAAAATCAGTTCTTCAAATTGACCAATAGCTGCTGCTTTCATATATTTGATAAAAGGGCGTGTTGTCCTGGCACGTGTGCACATGTGCACGCGTGTATATATTGGTGTGCTCGTGCGTGTCCAGGTTAGGACCGCTGGTGTGTATTCATAGTATTCACGCTGGATTGATGCTTTGGGAATTGGCTCGTGAACGTTCTGCTGGTTGCAGAATGTAAGCTCATGTCCCTTGTCCCCTTCCTTCCTATGTCCTGGGGGACTGTGCCCTCCATGGATTCTTCTTGTGTCAGAACCTTGCCTCAGGTGTCTTCTCTCTCTTCCCTGTGGTGACAGAATGTTTTCCAGGAGCTGAGGGAATGAGGAGTTTGGAATCTTTGGAAGAGAAAGAACTGAGATGACAGAGAGTTTTGAGAATATATTTGTAACATATTTAATTTTTGAGAAATCTCTGGCACTTGCCACATAAGTTATTGACTGTTTCCTGGGGTTGGGGTGGGTGGGTCTGCCTGTGTGGGGAGAGGGAGCGAGGCATGAGTGGCCTCTTCGTTTGCTCTTAAAGGCACCTGTCTTCTGGGAATTAAGCCACATTAGCTGCTAATCCTTTTGAACATTGTGAGACCACATGAAGTATGTGAGCAACTGCATTTTATGAATGGTCTGGTTTGGATACCAAGGTCTGCTGGAAGTTTCCTACTTAGACTAACTGGTGGCTATCTGGAGCTGAGCCCATCTTCGAACACCTGTGTTCATCCTCTGGTTCTCTGTGTGTACCTCACCTAGGTTGTCTCTTCTTCTGGGTGTGTTCCTTGCTCAGTTATTATACAAACACAACATAATCAGATCCCAAAGACCAACATGGATGGACTTTGAGAACACTAAGCAATATAAAAGGGGACGCCCCAAGAATACTCATCAGTCCCCTCCACCCTTGGGACATCTGATTGATTATCCTCAGTACCAAACTCCCAGAGCTGCTCTGCGCCCAGGGACCTCAGCTGGGCCACATGTGATGCCTGAGCATAACCTCTCAGGTGCTAGTAATGATGCAATCTCTCAGAGACTAAAGTCTGGAGGAAGAAACCGTCGAAAACCGTCGAAGGCCTTCTTTTCCACCGCCGAATACTTCTGAAGGGCCGTGAATCCACAGTTTCTTCCCTTCAGGAAAGAATCACAGCTGCTCAAGTTGAGAACACAGTGAACTCACTATCGTGGATTCATCTAAATCATCACCCGTGCATTTTCCCTGAGTGTATTTTCTCACAAGTGTTTGATTGCTTCCTTCTCCTCTTCTCTTAAGAGTTTCAGGATAGAGACATAATGGCAACCTCGGAGCCCTCTCAATTCTTGATTAAGAACACCTGACGCAAAGCCCAACTGCCTATTGATACCTTATTTATATGATTTGAAAAAAATTATAGCACAGAAAATAGGGCTGGGAGCCTCAGTAATTGTGTACAAGAAGTGAAAGTTACAGAAGTTATCTTCACCAGAATTATTTTGTAAATAGAAGAGGGTCTGTACGTAAATGAAAGACACATGTAGACCTAGACATTTTGTTCTTTTCATAGTAAATTTGTAGTGGTCTTATACTACACTAGCAGTAATTTTCACATTTTTCTTATTCAGAAAGGTTTTCTTATATTGGGGGGAAAAGTATTTATTTTAATATATAAAATCACTCAAAATCACTTTCGTAAAAAAATGGAGTGCATGTAAATTTTTATCAAGGAAAAATAAACAGGTGAATGTGGGTGATGATCTTTTGTTCAGCACAGTCTACCTCAGTGTACCGCTAGGATGTGGGTCAATAGTGGACATCTTTGAGATTTCAGAATTCTGACTGGATCTGGTCTGTGAGAGGGGAAATGTGTGTCCGCTATTCTGGACCAGGAAGAATTTAGAGGGTGGGGGTTGGGATGGAGGAGTTGTAATCTTCATGTGAACAGAAATCCTGTTTTTCCTTGCTGTGATAATATGCTCCACTGAATTTAATCTTCCTTAAAAAAAAAATCCTCCATCTATTGACACCACGTCCCCCAAACATAAACCAAGTTTCATGTTATCATGATTTTTATCTGATATATGGGACATCTGACTCACCTTCTTTTAGTGAGAGGTGGGTGTCCGCCTCAGAACCAGCATCTCTAGCTGTCTCGTGGAGTCCCCCAAAAGTGAGTACAAAGGTGGTTGCTCCCCCACAAAGGTGGTTGATTAAGAACACAGGTAGACGCAAAGCCCAACTGCCTATTGCTATCTTATTTATATGATTTGAAAAATTATAGCACAGAAAATAGGGCTCCCCCTCCTTTAGACCGATGATGCTGTTTGGGGCAGATGATATGCATTCATGTCACCTCACATACGAACACCAGTGTGATGTCTCCTTTTATCCTGCAAGTGGGAAGAGAATCCCAGCACAAAACTTAGCGTGCTGAACACGCTAAACAATAAAACCTTGAATCCCTGCATTGAGGATTGGTTGACCTCAAGCTTTAGAGAACCCATGTGAAAGTCTAAGCAGGGCCAGCAAAGCTATTGCCATATTCCCCAACCTCACTGTCCTTGTACTTTTTGATAGTGCCCATCTCCTGCCCTGGAGAGGAGTAGGGTCCTGGGCATACACTTTCCAAATGGGACTTCACTGATTCCATTTTGATGTCCCTCTGCAGTGAGAAGAACAAGCAGCTGTTGGGTCCCAAACCTCCTTTAGGCATCAAAAAAATGTTGACTTTGTAACAAAAGAACTTTGGCCCCAGGCATGGCTGTCTTAAGAGTTTGTAGAGATAAGTGATAAAAAGAAACCAAAAAACAGCTTAGGTTGACACTTTTCATTGTTTGTTTTTAAAGACTTCTCGCTATTCTAAAGCTGTTTTTTATTATTAACATGGTGAACTCCACACCATATTTTCTTCCAGGAGGGGAATAGCAAACACATTATTTTCTCCCTAATTCACTGATACCAAGCACATACCAGGAAATGTTCATATACTTGGAGCTGTCTGCGGTGCTGCCCTGTCATTTGAAGCTGGTAGGGGGGCACTGCTGTTCTCTGGATATAGGCTGAGCACAGTTGAATGAAAATGTGGGAATTGACACCAGGGTGTGTATGTACAATCCTGTGACCATTGAGAACTATGCCACAAACTGATGGATAAGTCTACTGTATCCCACCAAGGTAGATGCCCCACCATGAGATGCACTTATCGGACTGGGAGCTGTTTATTTGTAACCCACGGTATAACACTGGTCGCAGACAGCATGTGCATGGCCCGTGCTGGTCATCTTGGTAAATGAATGGATATACCAAGTCCCAACAGCAGTCATTCTTGTACTTCATGGTGGGTGGACATTTGGAATTAAATGTGTTTTGGATGCTACCTGGTGAGTTCTTGACACCTTGGGCTCTTCAGAAATTATGGTTTTGTTGTGTGTAGGGAAAGGAGAACACTGATTTTGTAAATGGTGTACATAGAGTGGTGTCATTTCAGAAACTCTTCCAGAATGTTCTTTGGAATACTTATTTATACCAGAGGTGAGTTTGGACATGGAAAGAACAGGCCAACACTTGTTCTTTACAACACATAAGAGTGACAGGCTTTCAGGGGCCACAACTGAAGGCAAATGTATCCTTACAGGTTCCTGAGAAATGAATGGAAGCATTGACTTTTTGAGCTCACTGTCACCTTCTGATACCAACCAAGGCCCAGAACCAGTCTTTGGCAAAATTTTTCTCCTCTGGGTTTGGGCTTTAAAAATCCTTGCTAAAAACCAGACTATGAATCTGACTGTCAGTCCTATCAGAGAAGGAAGGAATGGCCCCAAACAGGTGTACATCCACACACATGTTCAAGAGTGGCTTGTTTGGTCTATACTTTGTGTCAAAGTTGCTGCTCTTTGCTCCTTTGTGTGCCTGGGTGGCCTTGACCCTGTGTGTTAGCAGCACAGGATCAGATGTGCCATGGCTTTTGCATAAAACAACTCAGAAACAAAACCCACCCTCAAAGCTCAATTATTATTTTTTCAATGTTTTCCTACGAGAGCCAAGTAGCATCATGTACAGAATGCCTTTTTTGGGGGGGGAGGGGGATATTGAAATTGTTCTGCATGTAAAATACGGGATAATTACTTGTTTATATTAAAATTCTGAATAAATTATCTGAGAATACGCTTTGTTTTTTGTGTGGTGTCAGGGCTGGGCTGGGTAGCATTGTGGCTTTGGGATGGGCTGTGTGAGGGGAAAACTCTTGGGAGATTGTGGGTTCTGAGGGGAGAATCTTCTAGAATCTTCACATTAGCTGGGGGTTAGATAATTGATATTGGCAGAGCCAGTGATGTGCAGGTCTGTACTGTGCAGCCATTCTGGTGATTTGAGAGCTGCATTCAGGCCAAGGGTGTAGTTCAGTGGTAGAGTACCTTCTTGTCATGCATGAGGCTGTGGGTGCCCTCCCCAGCACTGCAGGAGAAAAAAATAAGTATCGCATTATTTCCACATTGGTTAGTAATTCATTGCTCGTCTATGGACCCTCAGGCTTCCTCAACCCCTAAGAGGCTTACTCCAGGAACACCAGAGTTTGCTCTGTTACAATGTGACAGAAGAGTATATGTCAGCCTTTTTTTTTTAATGTCCTGGAAATCTTCATTAGTGAAATTCAACAGGTGCCTCTTGGAAGATGGTTTCTCCCAAGGAAAGAGTCTCAGGGTGGGCAGGTGCTCTGTTTGCTCAAAGGGGCTCCTTAGAGTCCTCAAAACCTCCAACCCAGTGGTTACTGTGCAGTTTATCAAGGTTGCTGGGCCCTGGGCTGGAGGTGGGGGGCTGTCTGCTACTGGGTCCTAGCGCTGCCTCCCAGGCCTTTGGCTTCAGTGTGGCTTCTTGTCAGAATACCAGCTGCTAACCACAGGGATGTCTGTTTTGGCCACACATAAGTTTAACTCAATTCTGCAGACCTATGGGCATGGCACTGGCTCTGCTTTGGAGTGGGCTCCCTTGGCTGTGTCCCAACATGGCAGATGACATCACGGTGGGAATGTGCAACAGGGAGAGATCCATGGCAAGGGCTATTCGTGCTCTTTTATAGCAAGTAAGTCACTGTGAAACCAACATTAATCCCTTCCACAGCCACTACCCTCGGAGACCTAGTTACCTCCCACTAGGCTCCTTAGTTGTTCGTTTTCAGCCACCATGAAGACTGCTGACTTACCCCCCGAGGCATGGCTCCAACATAATGAAGTTTACTGTGCTGCTCCAAATTGTGACTTCAAGGTGAGTCACTCATAATCTTAGCCCCCAAGACCTCTGGAGGCCTTCATTATAATCACATGGTCTGTCATAGTGGACACTGGTGGGCGTAACAGGTGTCATGATGGACACATTGTAGAGGACACTGCTACCCAGATCACATTTCAGAATCTGACATCACTCTTCCAGGTGGCCATTCTGATAATTGCTCAATGTGGGGCTCAAAAGCCTGACCCCCAGTCT